GCAGTGGAGTCAATATCCGAGGACATGCTGGTACAAGTCTGGATAAAACTGAAGTACAATCTTGACATCTGTCATGTCTCCATATTCGCCACCCCCTCTGCCATTCCCTCCACTGGCTTCCGATTGCTCAACGCATAAAATTCAAATTACTAACACTGATGTACAAAGCTGTTCATAACACTGCCCCAAACTACATCACCGATCTGATATCCATATACCACCCAAAACATACTCTCCGCTCCTCACAAGACCTCCTACTCTCTAGTTCCCTGGTCTCCTCCTCCCATGCCCATTTCCAGGACTTCTCCAGAGCTTCCCCACATCCTCTGGAACTCACTACCCCAATCCATCAGACTGTCACCTACCCTCCACACCTTTAGGCACACCCTGAAAACCCACCTCTTCAGGGAAGCCTACCCCGCCCTCAGCTAATTGCCGACCTCCTCCACTCTTCCTACCATTCCATCCCCAACAGCTATTTCCTCCTGTACCACTATCCCCTTCCTCCTAGATTGTAAGCTCCAAGGAGCAGGGCCCTCGAACCCCTCGTGTATCGCATTGTATTACTGTACTGTCTCGTGTACTGTCTCCCATTATAATGTACAGCACTGAGCAAACTGTTGGCGCTATATAAATACTGTATAATAATAATAATGTCACAGACGGGGCTCACATCGAACATTTGTAGTGCAGAGGTAAAACTTTGATAGTTAATGTGTCTTCCCATGTTAATACAATTGGGTTAGGTTCATTTTATTATGAATAAACATGCTTTAATTTTGTACCGTCCTTTTTGAATCACACTGTACAGCTGTCTGGTGACATCACAGGTCCTTCTTCTTCAACACTGGCAGCAGTGAGTGGTCCTTATTCCTGGACAGCACAACAGCCACACTTCATTACTTGAGCGTCTCTCTGTCCAAGAGCAAAGCTGGCCATACAATGTTCGAATTTCAGCCAGTTCCTGATGAATCTATCAAAATATGCTTCGTGGTTAGTCCCTCCTGTCCAGCATCACTCAAATGAAAAATCAAAAGTCTAGGGAAGAATTCTGTCAGCTGAACAGCAGCTGCATCAAATCAGATGCCGCTACTATTTTGGTAGTCTTGACAGTCACTGGTGCCAGCCATCAGAAATACAATAGCCACAGTGGAAGAGAATTGCGTATCTTTGCTGTATAATGTGGATGAAGGAACACATTAGACTTTTTCGTTTAGCCCGCAGCCTGAACAAAAAAAATCTAATAGTTTATGATCAGCTTAAAGAGATGATTAACCACTTCCCATCCGACCCATGTACATAAACAGCCCGCACATTAACTGCGTGCTCCCTGGGAGCGTACGGCACCGCGATCTGGTGCCCGCTGTATGGAACCTCTGTGTGAGGTTCCGATTCATGTGATCACTGATTGGCCAATCAGTGATCACATGAATAGTAGTAAAGAAGATGTCACTTCTGACATCATTGTTTACTACTTGTGAAATCTCTGAATGGTCACAGAGGTCACATGGTGGTACAAGGCTATTCACAACAGCTTTGCACCATGTGACAAGCTGTGACTAATCACAGCTCTCACAGTATTTCTCAATGGCTGCAAGAATGCAACCAGAGAAAAGGAGAAATGATTGCTTTTACAGCCTTTATGGGTGTAAAAGCAATCAGTGTAAAAAGAGAGAAAAACAAATCTTCATCACCTCCCACAAGTAGTACAGTGTCACTGTGGTGACACTGTACTACTAGGGTGACAGTATGTTTAAAAAAAAACATAAATAATAATATAAAAAAATAAAATAAAAATGTAAAAAAAGTTTTAAAAATCATAATTTTTGGTTATAAACTAATTTGGGTTAATTTTATTTACTAAAAAGATAACTGAATACATTTTGGCCAAGATTTATGAAAAAAGATTATTTATTTTCAAAATGTTTGGACTTTTTCATTTATATAGCAAAAAAAAATAAAAATCCCAGTGGTGAATAAATACTACCAAAATAAAGTTTTATCTGTCTCAAAGAAATAAAAAATTCATATGGGTACAGTGTGGCATAACCACGCAATTGTCATTCAAAGTGTGATAGCGCTGAAAATTGACCTGGACAGAAAGGGGGTGAAAGTGTCTGGACTTGAAGTGGTTAAGGACTGTGAACCAAGGCCAGCATGATGTTGCATCTACAGTGGGCATGTCCACAATGGCCTGGGTTTGGTGATGGTGGGTGTTATTCATTTCAGGAGATGAGTAGTGCTGGATCACAGTTTTGTGAATCTTCATGGTCAGCACTGAAGAGGAGGGGAGTAAATCTCTTCAGCCAGGCCCACAGACAGCAATAAAAAACATTTCTTTTTAGTAGACTGCAGAAGTGTTGGAACTTCTGTCTGGTTCGAAAGAATGTGAATGATTCAAACCACTCTTCTGAAAATGTTTCCCCTCACTTGCAGTCCTATAAGAGGAAATCAACCATCATCAGATCAGGATGTGTAGGGAAATCTCTCTTTGAAAACTGGTCAAAACTGGAATTGCCTGGTAATCATTAATTTCGTAGGCGAAAATATTTTCGTTGACTAAAACTAAAACAATTCAGATGACTAAAATACGATTAAAACTAAAATGGCATTTCAGGCTATGACTAAAACAAAATCGAAATTCGATGTAAAAATTAACACTGATTATATATCACAACTGCTAAATCTGTGTCTGTGTAGTTTGTTCAAACCTTAATATCATGAACAATAACATCTTAATTAGATTTTTACTCCAGGAGTAGATAATGAGTTTGGAAATTCTAGAAAACTGCTTAACTAAATAATGAATTGCAATTAAAAAAAACCCATTCGATTTTTAGTCGACTAAAATGTACTGAAGATTTTAGTCGACTAAACTAGGAGTAAAACTAAAACAATTCAGATACCGTATTTTCCGGCATATAAGGCGACTGGGTGTATAAGACGACCCCCTAATTTTCCAGTTAAAACATAGGTTTTGGGCTATACTCGCCATATAAGACTACCCCCCTTCCGAGGCAACACCATTTTAAAACATCAGTATTTTTAATTGAAATGGTTATGACCGGTACTTAAAATCCTTCAAAATCCTCATGTTCATCCTCTGACATCATAAGTTCATGAATGGCATCATGTGATACATATGGATCAAATTCCAACTCAGATGGTTACCGCTGGATGTGCGGTAATACGGTAGCTTCGGCTACATACAGTATACAGTATATATACAGCCCGCTGGATGTGCAGTAATGTACATACAGTATACCGCGCTGAGCCAAGCTGGCTCAAAACAAATGTCCCTATGAGAGATTAATCTGTCAGCCCGCTGGATGTGCGGTATATACAGTATACTGAGCCAAGCTCGCTCAAAATGTACCGGTACGTCCCTACTGTAATCAGCCCGCTGGATGTGTGTATGTACAGTAGCTGAGGCTACATGCAGTATACGGTGGGCCAATCACGGCGAGCGATGTATTCTACTAATGAATACAAAGCCTGCTTGGATTGGCTGAGGTTGTGACATCATCAGCCCACCTCTCTGACTCAGCCAATCCGAGCAGGCTTTGTATTCATTAGTAGAATACATCACTCGCCGTGATTGGCCCAGTGTGTACTGTATGTAGCCGCAGCTCCCGACCATCACGCATCCAGCGGGCTGATTACAGTAGGGACGTACCGGTACGTTTTGAAACCACTTGGCTCAGCGCAGTATACTGTATATACCGCACATCCAGCGGGCTGACAGATTAATCTGTCATAGGGACATTTATTTTGAGCCAGCTTGGATCAGCACGGTATACTGTATGTACATTACCACACATCCAGCCAGCTTGACCCAAACAAACTCAAGGTTCACATTTTATACCCCGCGTATAACACGACCCCCAATTTTTGGGGTATATTTTTAAGTATAAAAAAGTAGTCTTATATGCCAGAAATTACTGTAACTAAAATGGCATTTTAGTCAAATGACTGTGACTAAAACTATTCAAAATGTGAAGTCAAAATTAACACTGCTTTTATTCTGGGGAAGATTTCCTTTCTCCCTCCCTTGAGGGACAGGAAATAGATGATATCTTCCCAGCAGGGTCCCATACAGCAGTGACAATGCCTGATAGAAGCTCTTATCATCTTTATCCAAAACAACAACAAAAAAAGTTTTGATGGAGTTCTATGTTAACAGTACCAAAAACATACATTTTTAATTTTAACTGGGACTGAGGAAGAAATTTAAAATGTTCTTGAAATACAAGCATATACTGTATACATGGATGAATTGTAGTCAGCTGTAGTAAACTGTGTTTATTGTCACTGGTTTACCAATATCACTTCACCAGTGGTCTACAAACTACGACCCTGGGGCCGGATGTGGGCCTTTGCTTACTTTTATTCGGCCCTAGGGCACTATTTCTCCCACTGATATGAGACACTATTCTGACAACTGACAACAATAATGGGGAACCATTGCTCCAACTGACACCAATAACGATTCTTCCCAATGAGGGGGCACTATTCCTCCCACTGATATGAGACACTATTCTGACAACTGACACCAACAATGGGGAACCATTGCTCCAACTGACACCAATAACGATTCCTCCCAATGATACCAACGAGGGGGCACTATTCCTCCCACTGATATGAGACACTATTCTGACAACTGACACCAACAATGGGGAACCATTGCTCCAACTGACACCAATAACGATTCCTCTCAATGATACCAACAAGGGGGCACTATTCCTCCCCCAATACCAAATGAGACAATGTTTACTCCCACTGATGCCAGAAAAATTTCCTCTCCTGCTGGCCACAGTCTGTCCCCCTAAAGTCTAAAGGACAATAAACTGACACTTTGTTTTACAAAGTTTGGAGACGCCTGACCTACACCAAGTAAAACAAATAAATGGACCACACGGTTACATGTTTTTTCTTAATTATATTATTTAGTATCTTGAGTGTTTCTTCTATTATTCTGAGGTCTTCTTGAATTTCTCTAGGTTGACATGGAGTCTAAGCAATCTGAGGACCCTCCCAAAACTTCACAAGTTTGACCAAAACCTTCCACATTTGAAGATGAGTAACCTAGGGTATGCATAACAAGTATCTGAAATATGTTTCCCATCAGCACATACCATTATATTTACAAATCTCAGTTTGTTTAAGGGTTCAGTCCACCCCTGAATTAAATCCCCTCTAGGGGGCCATTGTGACGGTTTCCCACTCTTTCTGTTGTAGTTTGTATTTATTGTATATTATGGAGAATGTAATAGAAGGAGCTGGAAAATGCAAAAGTTGGGCGGGAACCCAAAAAACTCACAGAAGGAAAGGAACAGTTTCAGGGATTATGGCAGAGGGATCTTGGTGTAAGAATCCAGGGGTTATTTATTTATTTCAGGTACTTATATATAGCACCGTCAGTCTATGTAGTGCTTTACATATATATATTGTACATTCACATCAGTCCCTAACCCTCAAGGGGTGTACAATCTAAGGTCCCTAACTCACATTCATACATACACATACTAGGGCCAATCTAGACAGGAGCCAGTTAACCTACCAACATGTCTTTGGAGTGTGGGAGGAAAACCGGAGTACCCGGAAGAAAACCCACACAGGCACAGGGAGAACATGCAAACTCCAGGCAGGTGGTGCCGTGATTGGGGATTCGAACCAACAACCGTAGTACTGCCAGGCAGAAGTGCTAACCATTCAGGGGTTGACTGAGATCATCAGCTTTTCCATTTTCTCAACGTCAATTTTCTGTTAAAAAATTGTCTTGTGTTAACCCAACCTTTCTCTACTAGAAATTGCTAGGGGTGCCTTGAGCAATGTCTGCCTCTCGGATAACTAACCGCTGACACCAATGATCTTTTTAGCTATCTGTAAGAGGATTAGTCTTACTGACCACAAATGTAAGCAGCATTCTTCCCATTGATCATCACACCAAAGTATTGTGAGCTGTATATAAAGCAGTCATTAGTAAGGGTTCCCCGAAAGCAGAAAGTTCTTTCAAGGGTTCCTCCATGTTAAAAAGGTTGAGAAAGGTAGCATTACCCTGTCTAGCTAGTTGTATTACAGGCAGTGGTCTGGGGGAAGGATATGGGAAAACAGGCTCTGTCCATCCAATAACCTACTCCATGGTCCGTATATGTATTCATGGTGGATACATGGTTCTGCTGCATTTAGTGGCCACAGACATTCCCTTAATCCAGAGGCGTAACTAGGACTATCAGGTCCTCAGTGCAAGAAACCATGAAGGGCCCCCCTGACGCAGGGGGCTTCCCTCAGAGCAGAACGCCAGGGCCGGCTTGTAAGTGTGACCTTTGCTACCCAGGTAGTTCCGCCACTGATGTCAGTAGTTTTTTATTTTTGTTATTTTATTTTTTATTATTTATTCTTCCATTTAATTATTTATTTATTTTACAATATTATTTTATATTATTTTCTACAATTTTTTAGGGGCCTCGTTTAAGCACTTTGGTGAGGTATCAGGGGTCTAAACAGACCTCTGATGTTCCACTTTTTGAGATAGAGAAAAGAGAATGAGGACACAGCCCACAATCTCCGTCTCTGCAACCTCAGCTGCACAGAATGAATAGACAGTTATAGCTCTGGACACATCTTCCTGTTCATTCTCAAACTGAAGCATAGTAAACACAGTTTACTATGCTTCAGTAATGAATGGAAAGAGTCAGTGATTTTACCATATACTGACTCTGTCTAGTCAGACAAGTAAGTAAATTACATATTTACTGGCCCTTCGCCACTCTCCATCCTGACACATCCCCTGCAGCAGCCAGCTGACAAGGGATGAGCGGGTGGAGAGGAAAAAAGGGGGCCCAGGCTCAACAGTAAGAAGCTGGATAGGAGGGGTGGTGGGGCAGCATATATTGGAACCAAATCCCTCTATTTTCCTACTGCAGCCACCTGCAGGGGGGAAAGGAGAAGTGGATATTTAGAGGCTGCAGGAGGAAAATAGAGGGGATCGGTTACTCTACATGCTACCCCTCCTATCCAAGTGTACAGGGAAGCCACTTGGGCCCCCTGGAACATGGGGCCGGGTTGCAGTTGCGACCCCTGTAGATATGCCCCGGCCTTGATCCCTACATGGGCTGTCTATACAGGAGACTGTTAATGATTTCAACTACAAATCCTTGAAACTCAGGGTGACAAATACATTTCATGCATAGGGCATAAGAAATATAAAAATATTTTGTTGGTTTCAAGCTGCAATCCCCAGGACTGTCATCTTCATTCTAAGAAACCGGCACTGACTGGCACTGATAGGCGGCACTGACTGGCACTGTTAGGTGGCACTGACTGGCACTGGTAGGCAGCACTGATAGGCAGCACTGACGGGCACTGATGCACACTGATAGGCGGCACTGACTGGCACTGATAGGCGGCACTGACTGGCACTGATAGGCGGCACTGATTGGCAGCACTGATAGGTGGCACTGACTGGCATTGACAGGTGGCAACAACTGGCACTGATGGGTGACACTGAAAGGCAGCTCAGATGGGCACTGATATGTGGCATTGATGTGCACTGGTAGGCACTGATATGTGGCATTGATGTGGCACTGATGAGCACTGACAGCTGGCACTGGTGGACACTGACAGGTGGCCCTGCTGGGGCTACACAGATCATCAGGGCACACTGATCATCAGTGCCCTGATGATCAGTGCACATGTCCCCTCTGAGGGATGCTGATTACCGGCTCTCCTCTCTTCTTCACGAGCTGTCAGCGTGACGAGAGACATGCCAATAACCGGCATTTCCCTAGTTACATGCGATCAGCTGTGATTGGACACAGCTGATCACATGACTGAGCCGCCATCGTTGGCTCTTTCCATTGATCAGTGATCCGCTGTGTCCGAAGGACACAGTGCCCTGCCGAGCGCAGCGCTGCGCGCTCCCGGAGCCACGCATGCGCGGTTAGAATGGGAGGACGTCATATGACATCCTCCCAGAATGAGAGAACCACCTTGTGCCCGTCATTGTACTATATGGCGGGCGGGAGGCGGTTAAACTTTCTCCTCTCCTCCCAGGCAGTAAACCAAGTTTCAACATGTGAACAGAAACAAAAGCAAACATCCCATAGTGTAAAACCATAAAAAAAACTTTAATGATGGGGAAAAATTATAAATTGTAAGCTCTAAGGAGCAGGGCCCTCTGATCCCTCCTGTATTAATTTGTATTGTAATTGTACTGTCTGCCCTTATGTTGTAAAGTGCTATGTTAACTGTTGGATCTACATAAATCCTGTATAATAATGTGTAAATGCAGGAGATAATACATGTGTTTATATTCCAGAGGTGTTGATGACTTGCTCATATCCTGCTATGATCATATTGTTCATTGTTTAATGGGGCGTCCATTGTCTAGACAACTAGCATCCACAGCTTCAGGGCTCCGGAGCGGAGCCATCCTCCTTTCTGGACCAAAGGTATCCATGCATTTACATTTTCTTTCTAAAATCTGTTTTCTAGAACATCTGTCTGGCTAAAATGGAACTGAATTGTGAAGCCTGTGTCTAAAAAAATAAGGCAGACAGAAGGCAGAGAATTAGTCACCACCATGCCTTGTTGTGCACCATATCTCCGTGGAGGTGGCCATCTTGGTAGAGATAGGGCTTTGCTTCCTCACACCAAAGTCTCCAACAAGGAAAACAGAGATAAGCACAAAAGTAGCACTTTCTGAAAGTTTGTTTTTTTTTGCAAAAGAAAAGAATTCATATACAGTAAGTAATGGAAAAAATATAAAAATAAATTATAGTTTATAGATTCAATTTCATAAAGGTTTATTAAATTTTTCAGCAGAATACAAAGAAATGTGTAACAAAGGATTATAAGTTTATAGATTTAACCTAAAAAATAAAAATGAATGGCAACTATTATAGTGTCTCTTGAAAAAGATCACACAGATCAACGGTCATATATTTTTCTTAGGGCTGTGGAAAGTCCACCATAGCAAGGGCATTGTGTAAAGAAGTGTCCGAAAGTCTGGAAGCTCACGTGGAAGAAATAGACTGCAAGTTATTAAAAGGTACAATATCTTTCTGTATTCTTCGGCCTCATGCACACAGGGCATTTTTACAGCCACTTTTAGGGACGTCAGGTGTTTTTTTTTTTTTGCTGCTTGTAAATGACCCTCCATGTTATCCTATGTGTCCATGCACACATAGACTTTTATGAGCTTTTAGTGGTAGGAACGTTTACAGGCAGGAAAAAAAAAACAGGGCCAGTGCGTCCAGGAACAGCAGCGTTTTGGCAGAAAAATCGCTTGACCCGTCTAAACACAACTAAGCGTGTGTTAACGCTAGGCATGTTTAGTTTTGAGTGTTAATTAATTTCAGTGGCCAGAATAAATTATTAACCAATAAATAAATTATAACCGCGCTCCAAATTTAGAAACGTGCTATAAGTGCTTATAATAAAAAAATGTAAAATAATCACCATTCTGAACTAAATAGACATTGTACAGGAGATGACCAGAGACTGCTTGTGCACAGGGATGACCAGAGACTGCGGACAGTACAGGGATGACTAGACTGCGGACAGTACAGGATGACCATAGACTGCGGACAGTATATAAGAGAGTGCGGACAGCAAATATATATTATTGGGGAATAATCAATGTTGACTTCAGTATCAAAGTTCCAATTTGACCAAAAGTGCGGAAGTATTCCAACCAAATTACAGATAACACTCTCCTTCACACTAAATTTCCAGAGACTAGCACTTTTTGGAATGACTGGAACTTTGATTATGAATCAAATTGATTATTCCCGGATAATATTATTTATTTGTATTTTTATCCAGCCGCGCGCTATTTTCTGTATTTATCAACACTAGACAGCTATTGATTAATTAGAGATTGCGCTTTGTTTGGTCAAGTGACATATTCTGGGATTTAGTCATGTGTCCCAGGTACCGCCTTACCATTCACAAAAAGCGCTTCTTGCGCATTATAAGCGCATAGCGCTTTCAACCGGCTTGGAGCGCGGTTATAATTTGATTATTGGTTAAGATCAAACGCACAACTCCAGGTAAGAGAGTGGGCAGCAAATTACCGGCCTGACCTCCAAAGTATAGCATATATCTCCATAAGGTATAGCTATACATATTTTTTTGTATATTTTGGAAATACCGGCTCAAAAGCACATTTATATTGTTTACATCAGAATAAATATTTTCCCCCTTTTTGGCTAATTAAAGCGAATTAACTCCCAAGCACTTGACACTTGTAAATGCGCCTAAAACCTTGTAAAAGTGCTAGATACTTTTACAAGCGTCAGGTGTTTTTGCAGCAAAAATGCCGCTGCCAGGAAAGCTTCTAGGAGAGTTTTTTTTTTTTTTTTTTTTAACATCCTGTGTGCATGAGGCTTTATATGTACCGTAATGTTATATACTTTGCTTTACGTAAAGGGGCACTGACTGAAATCAGTAGACTCACTGCAGTTTATAATTACTTTTATAATGACTAGAATGACAGTTCTCCTGGTAGCCAGAGACCATGACCAAATCTAGACTACCTAGACTGTTTGTTTCACCATGTCCTTTTCAGTCTGAGTGTAAATTAGATAGATCTGGTTCATTATAATCCGCTGGTGCGCTCTCAGTGTCCTAATGAGAAAAGCTGCAGGGTTTGCAGTATTAGGCTCCATGTACACGGGACACTTCTGAACGATGGAAACTGACTGCTGGAAAACGTAGGTTAAAACAACGTCTGTTTAGCCACGTTTGCATACCGCGTTTATGCGCATTTATGAGCGTTTGTGTTTTAGAAGCGTTTTTTTTAAAGATAACCTCAGGAGACCTTCCAAAATGCCCAGAATGCACTGAAAAAAACAGTAAAAAGTTAACTATTTCAGACATTTTGAGAAAAATAGAGAGAGCAGAAGCAGAGAGAGCAGTATTCGTTGAGATTAGCTTTTTTTTTGTGTGGTGTTTGGATGTGTTCCAGCTCATTTCTGTGCAGAAATTATTGCAGCCGTGTCTAACATATTTTCTTTCATGCAAAACCTCAAAGTATGGTGCGCCGGGTCTATTTGAGTACCGGGAAAACGCTTTGCATGCATTTTTCATGATGAAAAAAGGCTCTGGACAGCATCTGGAAATGGAAGAGTTAAAAAATATTACAAATGCAAACGCTCATAAACGCAGTGAGCCGCGTTTGCAAGCATTTGGCGTTTGAAACGCTGATAAAATCTGCTCCTGGACGCAAGTTTGGTGCGTTCAAAAAAACGACTGTAAATGACAAGTGTGTACATAGGAAAACAGTACGGAGAGTTCAGGGGCTGCTGAAAAAAATGCAGAAAAGCTCCTAAACGTGAATTTATCAGCTGCAGTGTACATGGAGCCTTAAACCCAAAACCAAAAATGTAATATATCGCAGCTTATCAATCATTGGATGTGGTGGCTGCATTCGTTTTCTTTTTTTTTTAGGCTTTTTTCCCCCCCCTCTGTTTTCACCTGGTGATCTGACCAGTAACACACCTCCTGTATTGGAGTGCATCCACTCTGGATGAAGGAGCACAGGGGGCAAATTTGAACCTAAGCATCGTTAATCAGAGGGTCAGGGGAGTGTTAGATGTACTAGCAGATTTAGATACACTAACAAAATGAAGCTGAACTCCATTTCCCACATTACAAGCAGTTACAGAAACATTTTTTTTTCCGGATAAAGGTTTTACAAAAAATAAAATAAAAGCTGATCATTGTAAACACCCTTGTCAGTGGTAAATGGTTTGTCTAATCCGTCAAACTGCTCTGCAGGAGTTCGTTTGAAAAACAACAGGCTTACTGGCTAGATCACCAAGTGAATATAAGGGAAAGAAAGCCTAAAAAAGAAAACTAATGCAGCCATTACATATAGGAATTGGTAGGCCGTAATGTAATAAATGTTTGCTTTTTGGTTTATTCCTGCTTTAATCCTTGGGGAGCATCCCACCAAAACTCAAGTTCATATTGCAGTTCCTATTTGACTTCTGGGAAAATCAGTGAGCTAATTACACAATCAGGAAATTACATTTCTGGCAGTGTTCTGTACACCAACTAGTTGCAGAACTCCTCCAGATTGCATTGCATTTTACAGAAAATTACAGCACTGCAGACTGAAACATAATTAAAAAACAGAAACACAAAGGAAACATCATTTTAATAACATATAATTACAACATGGCTTGTGTAGCCATTGCATATGCTATATTGTTTTATTTGCTACTTTTTTTTTCCACAAAAGTGATTTTTTTTATATGCCAGCAGTGTGAATATCTGGATTTGACCTGATATCAATATTTTGCAGTCCACTGTAGAGTCTGTACCAGGGGTGGACTGACAACTCATGGGGCCCCCGGGCAATAGGGGATCATGGGGCCCCTGTGTCCTTGCCCACACTAAAAAAAAGCCTATAAAAAGGTACCAGGGGCATCTCATGGGGCCCCCTACTGACCCCAGGCCCTCGGGCAGTGCCCAAGAGCTCGAATGGTCAGTCCGCCCCTGGTCTGTAGAGCAGAGCTCAGAGAGTGTAAGGGACCCACATGGAAGAAAAATGTATTTGAAATATATTTAAAAAATATTCTTCCCAAATATATTTACATATATTTAAAATGCTACAATTTTGGCCATATTCAATATATTTCAAAATATATTTCAATAAATATACATATATATACTGCATATTGAAATGCGTTTTATATTACAAAATATATGAAAAATATTTTTAAAAATAGATTTCAAATGTATGGTGTGTCTTTAAAAATACAAATCTACATTTTTGGAATGCATTTACAAATATATGCAAAAATATATGTTAAAATGACTTTTTTATGTTAAAAAAAAAATCTGAATATATTTTTAAAAATATATATTTTTTAAACATATTCTTCAGATTCCCTTGGCCAAAATTGTAGCATTTCAAATATATGTCAATATATTTGGGAAGAATATTTTTTAAATATATTTCAAATATATTTTTCTTCCATATGGGGAGAAGTAGCACAAAGAGAGGGAGAGAGCACTGTAAAAGATAAGCTGCTTCTCCTGTAAGTGACAGTAAATATGCAGCCGAAAACAGTTACGTTTTCTCACTTGGCAAACAGGAATGTGCTGTATGGCAGAGCTGTTTAAATTCAGGACTTGATTGACAGAAATGTAAATACTCTGGCAGCGTAAAGCAGCTCTCTTATATGCATTTCACTGTTTATGTGGTGTTTAGCTTTATGTAAAGTTTTACTTCTGTAGATCGGAAGGTAGTGCCTTATTTTTTCTTTGTTTCCACCATGTTTCAGGAAAGACACTGGATAGCATGTGTCAAACTGTGGAGGAAGCTTTCGCTGAGGCAGCATGGAGGCAACCAGCCGTTGTACTGCTGGATAATCTGGATCAAATTGCCGGTGTTCCAACAACACCAGAATTGGAGCACAGCCCCGAAGCTACCCAGAGCAAGCAGTTTTCCTACGGTATGTCAAGGTCAGCCATGTAGCCAGGTACTATTTCCATACCTTGGCTACTAAATGAACAATGCATGGCAAAGCATACACAAATAAAACATACAAAAAGGGAGTTAACAAAATTTCCACAGAAAATTCAAATTGTACCTTTACCTAAAGTTTTAACCTCCCTGGCGGTATGATTATTTCATATTTTTGGTGCTGAAAGCAGTACCATTATTTTACATGGAAATATGTAGTTTTTTTTTTGTAGGCTGTAATTTTTAGGAATAACTCACTGAAATCTGTCCCGAACAAGTGTCTAGTAAACATCCCGGGTATGATAAAATTTGAAACACGAAATCATAAATTATAATTTAATAAATAATCATAAAAAATAATAATACATTTAATTCAATAATATAATCAAACCAAAAACACTGAAATTTGAAATATAGCACCAAGTTCGCACATCACTGATCAAAGTCGCAAAATCGTTTTCAGTGTCTGATGACGAATTTCCCCCATGAATCATTATCACTCAATTCTGCAAGTGGTTCTGATTTACTATCGCTGTTCTCTAGCTGGTCTAAAACCGATTTTGACCTAAAGGGACAATTTTTGGACGCCATGGACTTTTCTCAGTTTCCAGGCAAAAAGAACAGTCAAAATGCAGGCAGGGCACAGGACAAAGCACTCGGGACAAAATGTATGTGAAATGGGTTGAAACAGCAATGTTTTACTATGTAAAATTTGTTTGGAAAAAAATGACTTTTTTTTTAAATTTTCAAATTTCCCGCTGAACTCCAGGAAAAAATGAATTTTGATTATTTGCTATGTACCTCGAATGAATTGAGTCCCAGGTGTGGCTGGCTGTTGTAATATTTAAAACTTAGTTTCTTTCATCTCCAACAGTACAGTTGGCGCTGAACATCCAGCACTGAGACTTACATTTCCACCTCTCATACAGTACATAAAGTGAGAGTTATATGGGTCACTCACACTCCATCTCTACCCATTCATAAATTGTCTTGTATTCTTTTCACTGGATACATGGTGTTTCTGTGGTTGAGGGTGCATATATTGTAAAGCGAATGAATAGCACAATCTCTGCTTCTCCAATCACAGAACACCTTGTATTCAGTGAAAAGAATACAAGATATTTTATGAGTGGAGGAGGTGTAGTGCGAGTAACCCACATAGCCCTCACTGTATGTACTGAGAGCTGGAGGTGTAAGTCTTGGTGCTGGAGCTATTAGAGCTGCTTACTGGACTGTCAGGGCTTAGTGAAACTATCAGTTTTTACAGTGACATTAAACAATAATTTATTTCTACAAAAAAATCCATACTTAATGGCCCTGTAATCTACTGCATTTTCATGAAATCTGTGCTTACTGTGCTTTTTTGTCTCCTTGTATTGGCATCATCTATATCTATCTATATATATATATATCTATATATATATCTATATATATATATATATATATAAATATATATTATAGAATATATATTTTATATATATAATAATTATAAAATATATATATATATAGTTTTTAAAAATACAAATCTAAATTTTTGGAATGCATTTACAAATATATGTAAAACTATATAAAATTACTTTTTTATATGTTAAAAAAAATCTGAAGTATATATTTAAAAAAAAAATATTTTTAAAAATATATTCTTCAGATTTTTTTAACATATAAAAAAAAGTCATTTTAACATATATTTTTACATATATATTTGTAAATGCATTCCAAAAATGTAGATTTGTATTTTTAAAGACATACAATATATTTGAATTTTTTAAAAATATTTTTCATATATTTTGTAATAAAAACGCATTTCAACATACAGTGTATATATATATATATATATATATATATATATATATATATATATATATATATATATATATAGAAATATATATATTGAATATGGCCAAAATTTTAGCATTCAAATATATGTCAATATATTTGGGAAGAATATTTTTAAAATATATTTCAAATATATTTTTCTTCCATGTGGGGAGGAATGAGCAAGAGAACGTGGGACATACAGTGGGACCCTGGAAAACGAACGTAGTCACCCTCTAACAGAAAGTCAGATCATAGCAGCAAAAAAATTTAAATAAATAAAAAAGGTAAAAGGGGCGTGCAAATCAGACTGGGACTTTTTGGGTTTATAAGCATTTATTTTTCAGCATACTCCCCTGCTACATTTATAGCACTTATCCCAGCGTTTAACTAATGCCTGGAAAGCTTCGGCATAGAAAGATTTGTCAGTACACCTGAACCATCCTAGGACAGCCGGCTTCACTTCATCATCATTGTGCTCACCGTCCCCACAGAAAGATTTTCTCTTTTTGTGCAATTTCATGACAGGTTATGTATCAATTATCCAGGATCGGCGTTCCACACACTCAGTGTTCACAGGAATGACTGCTGTGGGCTGGGAACCACCGTGGCTGAGATTTTCACTGACAGATGAATGACCATCTTTGAAACGTTTACAGCATTCAAATGTCTTATTGCGGCTGAACATCTCATCCTGCACTGTGCTTGAAGTCTTCTGTAGCCGATTTTACGCCTTCATTCACAAGAAACTTCATCCACACACTGTTCCATGCACGCACTAACACTGTGGTCTGCCATCATGATTAACGGTCTCTGGACTGGCCCGTGACATGTGCGCCGCCTATCAGTAATAGGACACACTTGCCATTTACTACTACTGCGTGTATTACCGCCACACTAGCATCCCTTTTTTATACCTTTAAAATGAAAAGTCCCTGGTTTGATTTGAACACCCCTCGTATTTATTGATACATCACAAATATCTAAACATTTTTTAACAGAATTCAGCTTTAAAAGATTAAGTTTACTCAAAAGAAAACAAAAATCAACATGTCTCCTCCTTTAGTAGACGTTTTCCTCCTCCAATCCCCACCCCTGCTGCCATAATCTTCTGGTTCAGCAGAGATTGGTGATGCCAATGGAGCTGTCACAGGCGCTCATCAAGAATTCACGACTATGCCTGACTTTTCTGCCCAACTCCTCCATTCACAGAGGATGTACTAAAGCTTCTATGAATGAAACACAATGTATGAATGGAAGATGGGTGGATGATTGAAAGGTATGCCCCCTCCATTCAAAGATCACGTTTCATTCATAGAAGCTGTCCATCTTTCCAGAAATCATGTCCTTGCAGCTTCCTGTGTACTGAATTGAATTATCAAACATTTTGATCGTCCTTCCCAACTATTTTCTGTGGACTATTAAACATCTCCCCTATAAGTAATAAAGATGGGCTGAGGAGAAGGTAATTGTAATCCAAATTAGAAGAACAGCCTAGGGTGACAACGCTGCTCCTTGTTAGATACAGTGCAAGAAGGGAGTAGGTTACTCTTACATTGGAAGTGTGTTTCACGAGGTTTAAAATAATGGGGGGGGGGGAATCTGAAAAAAGAACACTAATGCAGTCAGCACATCTAGGAATGGTAAGCTATAGCATATTGAACTTTTTTGCGGTTTAGTTATGCTTTAATTCCACACTGTATTTACTGAACATTTTGAAGCATATACAGTATAGGGAGAATTTATTGTGCATTCTAGATTGTAGACAAGCTGGTTTACAATAGATCTAATATGAGATCTGACCAAAGTGGTTAAAGGAGAAAACAAAAAAATCAGATGTCACGTTTGTTCTTTTGTGTGTTTCAGTTCTGAAAGATCTGATGAAGGAAATAATTACCTTGGACACACAAATTGCTGTTATAGCAACTAGCCAGACAGAGCGCTCCCTAAATCCTGTCCTGGTGTCTACACAAGGGGTCCACCTTTTCCAGTGCCTTAAAACTATTCCGCCTCCAGCTCAGGTAAGTGCAGACCCCTTAATATATGGCTTTATTGTATCTGCTCTATATAGAAAAGATGGACATCTGTATGTAATGGTACACTGATCACTTCTATGTCTACTTTCATTTAATATGTCTACCTACCTATAATAAGTCACCTAACCATGCATCATACATACTAGAGGGGGGGGGGGGGTAAAACTGAAGGAATCAATGGTGGAGATGGATCTGGGAGTTCTGGTAGATCACAAGCTTAATAATGGCATGCAATGCCAAGCTGCGGGTTCTAAAACAAGCAAAATCCTCTCTTGTATTAAAAGAGGTATAGACTCCAGAGATAGATATCATTTCCCCAGTACAAATCATTAGTAAGACCTCAGACTCTGATGGGGACCCTGATATAAAAGGGGGAAACTAATGTAAGGGGGACTCAGATGGGGACCCTGATATAAGGGTTGACACTGATATACTGGGGATTCTAGTGGGGAGAAAATCAAACAGAGGGCGCACCGGCCTAGTGCATTACCTTAAAAGTATGTTTATTGAATGTTAAAAAAATAGGTATTCTACTCAGAAATAGTCAATAAATAAAAGGCACATCATGAAGGAACAGCTCTGTACAATTTGCACTGCGTATCTGTCTGTGATGAGAATTCTGGACATCCAAAAGGTTGACACGTTTTGAGGGCTAGCCTCTTCCTTAGAGCTCTGATACGCAGTGCGAATTGTACAGAGCTGTTCCTTCATGATGTGCCTTTTATTTATTGACTATTTCTGAGTAGAATACCTATTTTTTAACATTCAATAAACATACTTTTAAGGTAATGCACTAGGCCGGTGCGCCCTCTGTTTGTTTTTCTCTATTCAGTATATTTGGACTCCCCAGTACTTTGAGGGTAGCAAGGCGTGTATATCCCAAGAATTTCGTTAAAGTCCCAGACATTGAGTCCATCCCCAAGCGCAGGAGTATCTGGGTTTTTCACTTCTACACTACTGATTCTAGTGGGGACCCTGATATAAGGGGGAACCCTTATAGAGATCCTGATGTAAGGAGGAACTTTTATTGTGATCCTGATGTAAGCGGGGACTCTGATGGGGATCCTAATGTAAAGGGGACTCTGATGGTGGTCTTAAGACACCCGGGATTTGACTTACTGAAACTAGAGAGTGCAAAATCTGGTGCAGCTGTGCATGGCAGCCAATCAAATTCTAACTTCAGCTTATTTAATTAAGCTTTGACAATAAAAACCTGGAAGCTGATTGGCTACTATGCAGCCCTGCACCAGATTTTGCACTCTTCAGTTTTAGTAAATAACCCCTACAGAGTTTTCCTTGCTTCTGTTCCAGAACTGGTTGTTTCTATACAATTATTATTATTATTATTATACAGTATTTATAAAGCGCCAATAGTTCGCTCAGCGCTGTACATTACAAAGGGGGACAGAACATGTGACAGAACAATACCAATACAATGCAAAACATGAGGGGATCGAGGGCCCTGCTCTTTCGAGCTTACAATCTAGGAGGGAGGGGATGGTGGCACAGGAGGAGATAGCTGTGGGGGATGGAGTGGTAGGAAGAGTGGAGGAGGTCGGCAAGTTAGCAGGGGGTGGGGTAGGCTTCCCTGAAGAGATGGGTTTTCAGGGTGCGCAAAGAAAATCACTCCCAGTGTGATATCAGCACCATTTTTTGCATTGTATGTGAGTGAAGGGGGCGCTTTGGTGACGCTAGTGCTGAGGCATCATTCAACTCAGAAGAGGGCCGGTGGTGTAAACTCTAGTATAGTGGTTCTCAACCTTCCTAATGCCGTGACCCTTTAATACAGTTCCTCATGTTGTGGTGACCCCCAATCATAAAATTATTTACCCAGTAATTATAATTCATGAGTGTCGTTTTACCTCCAATACTGCTGCTTTCAACACAGTAGCTGCTTTTAACAGAGTAGCTGCTTTCAACACAGCAGCTGCTTTCTACACAGTAGCTGCTCTTTACACATCGGAAATATGTGTTTTCTGATGGTCTTAGGGGACCCCTGTGAAAGGGTCGTTCGACCCCCAAAGGGGTCGTGAACCACAGGTTGAGAACCACTGCTCTAGTACATTTGGTAGTCAATGACTGACAATGTAGCGATGATGTGTATTATGATCCATTCAGGTCCCTAGGTTATTTTTCTCTGTTTATTTTGTAGAAAGAAAGAGTTGAAATGATGTGTAGTGTTATAAAAAACAGACTTTCCTGTGATATCACTCACTTCCAAGATCTTGATCTGCATCACCTTGCTAAAGAAACAGAAGGATTTGCTGCAAAAGATTTTACTATGGTTGTGGAAAGAGCCGTAGAATTTAGTTTTGCCACCAGAAAGATACACAACAAACAAGGTAACACAATGTCTTAATTTTTTTTTTTAAATAATCTGCATGGATAGGTGTAATTACAATATACTGTACACTTTGTGGCCAAAAGTTTGTGGACATCTGACCAACACACCTACATAAGCCTCTGTATGACGATGCACCTCCACTTTCCAGATCATCCAAGCTTATGGTCTCAAGCAGGGGCGGACTGACCATTTGGAAACTTGGGCACTGCCCGAGGGCCCGGGGTCAGTAGGGGGCCCCATGAGATGCCCCTGGTACCTTTTTCATAGGCTTTTTTGAGTTTGGGCAAGGACACAGGGGCCCCATGATCCCCTATTACCCGGGGGCCCCCTGAGTTGTCAGTCCGCCCCTGGTCTCAAGATCAGCTTTTATCCTCTCCTGTCTGTTTTATAATAACTTTGGGCTTCTTGGGCTTTTTTGCCAACAAGCAACTATTTTGCAGATTTTCAAGAGTGCACATGGTCTTCTGTTCACTCCTTCTTTAAGTTCTGCCCACATGGAAGAAAAATATATTTGAAATGTATTTTAAAAATATTCTTCCCAAATATATTGCTATATATTTGAAATGCTACAATTGTGGCCATTTTCAATATATTTCAAAATATATATACGCTGCATGTTGAAATGCATTTTTATTACAAAATATATGAAAAATATTTATCTACTGTATGTCTTTAAAAATACAAATCTACATTTTTGGAATGCATTACAAATATATATAAAAATATATGTTAAAATGACTTTTTTGTAAGTTAAAAAAAAATCATGAATATATTTAAAAATATATATATATTTAAAAATATGTATTTTTTAAAATATATTCTTCAGATTTTTTTAACATATAAAAAAGTCATTTTAACATATATTTTTAAATATATTTGTAAATTCAATGACAATTGCGCGGTCATACAACATTGTACCCAAACTAAAAATTTTATCATTTTCTTCACACAACTAGAGCTTTCTTTTGGTGGTATTTAATCACCGCTGGGGTTTTTATTTTTTGCCAAATTAACAAAAGTTTGTTATAAAAGTTTGCAAATAAATAATTGTTCTTCATAACTTTAGGCCAAGATGTATTCTGCTACATGTCTTTGGTGAAAATAACCCAAATTAGGATGTATTTTTTAGTTTGTAGGAAAGTTATAGAGTTCACAAACTATGGTATAGATCTGAATATTGATCAATCCTGAAGTACTGACAGCCAATCTAATTTCTTGAGATCCAAGAATGTCAGAACAGTACAGATATCCCCCAAATGACCCCTTTTTGCAAAGTAGACAGTCCGACATACTTCATAAGAGGCATGGCGAGTTTTTTGAAGTTGTATTTTTTTTGTCATAATTTTTCGGAAAATGAAAAAATTTTAAAAAATTATTTTCACTATTTTTTTTTTTTACATACTATCACCAGTGCAGTACAGCATCATCATATAACTGGCATGGCGGTGATCAGGGACTCTGCCTGGTGACAGTATGAAAAAAAAAAATATATAATTTTTTTTTAATTTTTTTTAATTTTTTTATTATTTTAATTTTTTATTAAATTTTTTTTTTTTTTTTAAGATTTTTTTTTTCATATTTCACTAACCATTGTTACCATAGTAACATTGTACTACTTTGGGGAAGTGATCAGTATTTTTTTTTATACACAATTTGCTTATAGCAAAGAATTACTTTGCTATAAGCAAGAATTTACCTGAATGACATCGATTCATTCAGGGTTTTTTTTTTTGTGCTTAGCTGTGATTTGGCCACGGCTAATCACATGACACAGCTGGGCTGTGATTGGCCCAGCTTGTGCATGTGATCGCTGTGACCATTCACAGCTAGACACACTAGTATACAATGAATGGCATGAATTAAGCCATCCATTGTATACAACTGTCATGTGACCTGCTGTGATTGGTCACATGGTCACATGGTACTGGCAACGGGGCCAGTACTCAGATCTGTCATCGGCTGTGTCCGAGGTACATGGCCGGTGACAGATCGCGCCACTCCGCGTGCTCTGCAGGCGCGCAAACTGCACATGCCCGAAAGGACGCCATATGGCGTCCACCCGAAAAGGTGAGGGTTTTTGCCGACCACCATTCAGCCATAGGCTGGGCGGGAACCGGTTAAAGAAAAGAAAATACAAAAATCTAATTTTTTTTCCACTTATCAAATAGATATAACAAAACACTTTCAGTGGTAAAATTTACCAAACCAAAAGGAGGCAATTAAAATAGGTTCATTGTTTTAGGTTTTTACAGTGCATTCAGGCATGAAGATTTCTGTGTAGTCATGTGACCTGTACTGATTTTGACTATCTTACAAGTACACTGTAAACTCTTATGGACAGCAAAGATGTAGACAATTCTCTTTCTTGTTTAAATTATTAAAAGTATTTTTGTCAACATAACTTTCCCCTTTAAATATTTATTTTATATTATCATTGTCAAATTGGTGCATTAACAAATAACAATAAGTACCATTTACTTTTACTTTTCTGTTTTCCATGTATGCATGTAGACTTGCTTTTGACAACATCAGACTTCCAGAAAGCTCTTAAAGGTTTCACTCCCATGTCCTTGAAGAAAGCAAACTTACATAAACCAAAAGAACAAGGCTGGACTATGGTGGGAGGATTGCATGACATTAGACAGACTCTCATGGACACTATTGAGTTACCAGCCAAGGTATATGACTTGTTAGCTAACACTGATACAACAGAAATAAATCTTAGTAGATGCAATAATTCTATGTGCTTTGAATATAGATATATATATATATATATATATATATATAAATATATATATATATATACATACACACACACTGGCCACTGTTCAGTTGCTTTGTAACACAAATTGCTAATCAGCCAATCACATGGCAGCAACTCAGTGCGTTTAGGCCTGTAGACACGGTGAAGACGACTTGCTGAAGTTCAAACCGAGCATCAGAATGGGGAAGAAAGGGGATTTAAGTGACATTGTACGTGACATGGTTGTTGGTACCAGATGGGCTGGTCTGAGTATTTCAAAAACTGCTGAACTACTGGGATTTTCATGCACAACCATCTCTAGTGTTTACATAGATTGTACAAAAAAGAGAAAATATCCAGTGAGCGGCAGTTGTGTGGATGAAAATGCCTTGTTGATGTCAAAGGTCAGAGGAGAATGGGCAGACTGGTTTGAGATGATAGAAAGGCAGCAATAACTCAACCGCTTGTTACAACCAAGGTATGCAGAATACCATCTCTGAATGCACAACCCATCGAACCATCTGATGCTCGGTTTCAACTTCAGCAAGTCATCTTCACCTCGTCTAGATGCCTAAATGCATTGAGTTGCTGCCATGTGATTGGCTGATTAGCAATTTGTGTTACCAAGCAATTGAACAGGAGTACCTAATAAAGTGGATGGTGAGTGTGTGTGTATATATATATATATATATATATATATATATATATAGAGAGAGAGAGAGAGATTGAGATTGTATGTAAAAGTGACTGTTGCTTCAATGTCATATTGAATATGATTCCTAGCACCACTGTCTTACATCTTTTCTATGCAGTATGTCAGCTCAGTAGATCATGAGCATATCTCCTTCCCCTGTGGAGCAATGCAAAGGTATCAAATAATAGATTAAATGGAAGAAGTAATAATTCTATAAGTGTGTGTGTATATATATATATATATATATCATTTTCTATGTCTCAAAATTCACCTTCGTCTTGCCCCCCTGCTTGGAGTCAGCTGTGAGAGAGCAATTTTCCTATTTTGGCTAGATTGTGAATTTTCATATATGGAACACACACACACACACACAGACACAGACACACACACACACACACACACACACACAGACACACACACACACACACACACACACACACACACACACACACACACACACACACACTTTTTCAGCCAAACTCAACACATGCCATAACCCTGTTGTCTTTGGGGATATCTCCTGACTGGTCTCGTACACAACAGGGAAGATACAAACTGAACACTGGCCCCCCTGTAGCAAAAATTAAAGCCTATCTAAACCCAAGAATAAAAGCGTCAACATTTGCATCTTATCAGTCTTTAGATGTGACTGCTGCATTCGTTTTCTTTTTCTTTCCTTTATCTTCCCTCGGCAATCCTGTCAGTATCACACTTTATGTCCTAGATGTCTCTCACTCAATGTACTGTATCTATGGAGCTGTGGGGTTATTACCTTAAAGTGGAACGTCACCCAAAAAGGGAAGTTCAGCTTTTCCGCCTCCTCCCCCTCCTCCTCTTCCACTTTTGGAAACTTTTTTGGGGAGCGGGTACCAGGTTTTGATAGGTACCAGCTCCCACTTCTGCCCAGATTACCTAGGTGATCCAAGCGGAAGTTCACCTTCATCCCCTTCTCTTGCCTGCATCCTTTTAGGACACGTCACAGTTCCCAGAAGACTGCGGAACCATTCACAAATCATGTGCAGTTTGTGCATGTGCAGTGGGAAACCTTGCGACTTCACAGTCGGTTTCCCTTAGTCAACATGCCAGCACCAGAGACCCTAAGACTGGTGGAGAACCGGCCCAGGTGAGGACGGTGCTGGATGCCTGGACTGGTGAGTGTCTTTTTATTAAAAGTCAGAAGCTACAGTATTTGTACCTGCTGAGTTTTCATTTTTTAGGGGAAAATCGATCGACGCTCCTCCAAACGGATATGTTTACCTTTCATAACATTCAGGGTGTAACATGTAACATTTTACGATCTGATCTGCTGATCGCTGGTGCAATGCTTTAGAGGCTCCAGAAACAAAAAATAATAAATGCACATTTTTTTTACCTGCAAAAAAGTGCATTTATTGTTTTTTGTTAAAAGGTGAACTTATCCTTTAAGGCAGGACTGCTGGAAACCTCCATCTCTCCTTATCCCCATAAAATAGGAGGAGTGTTTTGTAGTTCATAGAGGTGAAATGGAGAGGGCCAATAACATTGCAGAGTGCACGTGGCACAGGACAGCACTGGATTTCTGGCAGGACCAACAGGTTTTTGCAAATCATTTTCAGTTGTATATTTAACAGACCAAAGGGAGCAAATAAGAAAAATTATTTTTAAAGGTTGACAAACCCATAAGAAATGTGAGTAGCATTGCTTTAAAAGTTAATCATTTTAATACAATACACCAACCTTTAAATCCATGTCCTTGTAAAAAACAGATATATCATTTAAAAAAGAAATAATGTATGACAATACATCTCATTGTGTGTTTTTTTAATTTGAAGTATCCAGAGATATTTGCGGCCCTCCCTATACGGCACAGATCTGGGATTTTGCTGTACGGTGCTCCAGGCACTGGAAAGACTTTACTAGCCGCGATTGTAGCTTATGAAAGTGGGATGAACTTCATCAGCGTCAAGGTGAATATAAGAAGAAAAAAAATTCTTATTCTGAAATCTTGATTGTACATGTCTACAGTGCCAGATGTAGTTGCAAAGATGGGAGTATTTCCTCAAACGGGTCTGGCTGCTGACTGGAGCTCCACTATTGACAGGCAACATGTGAAGTCATATGTTGCCTGTCAAAAGTGGAGCTCCAGTCTGCAGCCAGACCCCTGTTTGAGTTGTTGCTGTTCATGTTCATCTACCTGCTGCCCTCAGCCTCCTCTTTCTGGGGCTCCCTGTGAGCTTCTCACCACCCACAGAGCTACATGAGAGAAAGGCAGAGCCATTGCTGACAGCGGAGTGAGCAGTGAGGGATATCAGACCAGACCATACCTTAAAGGGACCTCCAGTTTACCACTGAGAGTATTATCTCTAAATGCGCTTATTGATTGCGCATCTGGTGAGTGCGCAGTCTTTATACGTTTGGTCACATCACCACCTTACTGGATTAGACCACCAGTTATTGGAAATCTTTATGATCTTCCACGCACTTGTTTTGAACTATATGTTTTGATTACTATTTCTAGCACTTTATTTATGCACTTTTGGTCCCCATATAGTGACAAAGTTATTTTGACACATTGGGGTTTATTTACTAAAGCTGGAGAGTCCAAAATCAGACTCACTTCTGCATAGAAACCAATCAGCTTCCAGGTTTCATTGCCAAAGCTTCATTGAACAAGCTGAGCTTAGAAGCTGATTGGTTTCTATGCAGAAGGGAGTCTGATTTTGGACTCTCCAGCTTTAGTAAATAAACCCCATTGAGTCACTTTATTTAATTGATAAGCACTTTGTCACGAGTCACTTTTACAGATATTCTCATTTTTATGTTCGTATTTATATATGCATATTTTACACATGTGGTTATGTTTACTATAGCGCTGCGCCCTATTTTATATTCCACACTTAGATGCTTATGTCATATGTGACAATTAAAGGCACTGGTGTAGTCCAGGTAATAGTAAATCATAGATCAATGGCCAGAAGACACAGCCCTCAAGTATAAATGTAGTGTGGACTAATAAGCTCTAGCAAGGCAATAGATATGAAAATAGAGATCCCTGATGATGTATAATCCAGCAGCAATATGTAGAAAGATGGCAGTTAGCAGACAGCTGAATATATAGAGAATTCACTATCTTAAAATAGAGGAGGCAGCCGCCATATAGAACTTGAATGGCAGAGCTCTGCCTGTGTGTAGATCCAGTTAACCGCCAGATAAAGGCCACAATGTCACTCACTACCTTTTGAATCAGATGAAGAGAAGTTAATGTTCCTTAATGAACTGTATAAGCAAGGTGCAATGCAATGCACCGACTGTTAAATATGAAGTAGAATCCCCATCCTGTAGGGAAAAAGTGACAAATAGAAAGCCGTGGAAGACTTCTGGTGATAGAGGCCTATCAGCTATGTATCCAGTTAGGTGTGAGAGGAGTGTCACTCACCACCCACTCAGTCAACGAATGATAGTATGACATTTCTCAAATTGCTCAATTCCATGTCCGGAGTCCCAGAGGCAGTTGCCAACTTCAGGAACCCCAACGGTCAGGCTCCGCTTCCTAGAAGGTACACGTGGTGACCGGTGAATGCCAATAGTAATCGTGATGCTCCGTGTCCCCACCCGGGCTGGGTGTGTAGGGCCGATGTGCGTGGCCAGCAGTGACGTCACTGACATGTGACGTAAACGCATTTTTTTGTTGTAGGCTTTTTTTGGTTATTGGGCAAACTTTGTACTTCAAGCGATACCAATTACTCTTTAAGTCTCTAATCTCACGGTTATACAGCTCGAGGTCATCCCTAACAATCGGGAAGCAATCAACATGACTCTAAACCATGTAACAACATTTTAATTATTTTTTTTTTTACATTTTTGTAAAAAAATCCTCACCATTTAGCAGAAAAGCCTGATTGAATTTTGACCTAATCTCTTTAAATCAAAAGATAAGACAGCCAGGATTACATCATATCCTCTCCTTTCTCTCTCTGTGGTCAAAGGAAACTACAGTTCCCATCAACCACAGGGAATTTTAGTGAATGTAGGGAGGTACACTAGGCCTGTACATGTTGAATGTGTCTGAGAGTCTCGGTCCCCCCCAACTGCAAGTGGAGCTGAATGACATCACTGCTTCCTGGAGAAAGAACTACAGAAGGGATGAGCCAAGACCAGTAGCTGGGGAAATAGAAGGAATAGCAGCCACCAGTCTTACAAACAGGAAACCAAAGAGAATAAATGCTTTTTTTGAAAATGAATAGGCTATTTCAGAGCAACTACTGAATGAACCAAAAGATGGATGACATATTCCATGAAGGTAGGAAATCAGCAACAAGGACATATAAAGAAGTTTTTGCCTGGAGTTCTGCTTTAAAAAAATTAAAATGATTTTGGTTCTCACATTAGTTATAGGAGTCTATGTACCTTATTTTCCGGCGTATAAGGCGACTGGGTATATAAGACAACCGGCTAATTTTCCAGTTAAAATATAAGTTTTGGGCTATACTCGCCGTATAAGACTACCCCCCTTCCCGAGGCAACACCATTTAAAAACAACAGATTTTTTAATTGAAATGGTTATGACTTACCGGTACTTAAAATCCTTCAAAATCCTCATGTTCATCCTCTGACATCATAAGTTCATGAATGACATCTTGTGATACATTTGTAAGACAGTCATCATATAGATCAAATTCCAAATCAGATGGTTACCGCTGGATGTGCGGTAATACGGTAGCTTCGGCGGCTACATACAGTATACAGTATATATACAGCCCGCTGGATGTGCAGTAATGTACATACAGTATACCGCGCTGAGCCAAGCTGGCTCCAAACAAATGTCCCTATGAGAGATTAATCTGTCAGCCCGCTGGATGTGCGGTATATACAGTATACTGCGCTGAGCCAAACGGTTTCAAAACGTACCGGTACGTCCCTACTGTAATCAGCCCGCTGGATGTGTATATGTACAGTAGCTGAGGCTACATGCAGTATACGGTGGGCCAATCACGGCGAGCGATGTATTGTACTAATGAATACAAAGCCTGCTTGGATTGGCTGACGTTGTGACATCATCAGCCCACCTCTCTGACTCAGCCAATCCAAGCAGGCTTTGGATTCATTAGTAAAATACATCACTCGCCGTGATTGGCCCAGTGTATACTGTATGTAGCCGCAGCTACCATACATACACGCATCCAGCGGGCTGATTACAGTAGGGACGTACCGGTACGTTTTGAAACCGTTTGGCTCAGCGCAGTATACTGTATATACCGCACATCCAGCGGGCTGACAGATTAATCTCTCATAGGGACATTTGTTTTGAGCCAGCTTGGCTCAGCGCGGTGTACTGTATGTACAGTATTACCACACATCCAGCCAGCTTAACCCAAACAAACTCAAGGTTCACATTTTATACCCCGTGTATAAGACGACCCCCAATTTTTGGGGTATATTTTTAAGTATAAAAAGTAGTCTTATACGCCAGAAAATACTGTATTTTGAATACATCTGAACAGCTCACATGAAACCTGCCGTATTCCATGTTATATACCTATCTCCTATAATCATATGCGCCATCCAGTGGCCATAATGCGGTATTTATTTTTAAGCACCTCAATCAGGAAAAAAAATAAATTTTGGCCACCAGATGGCACTTACAATCACACAGGCTTGTTCTACAACACGGAAAAAGGCAAGATGTGCAACTTTGAAACATAGATCCCATAGAGTTATTGCCAAATTAACTGACACACACTGACACTTCTATATTTGATTTCATGGTATAAACCTCTTCATGACAAGGTGTAAAGGAAATGTTTGGTTGTATTTCTCACATAACACTGATCATATCTCTTCAGGGTCCAGAACTTCTCAGCAAATATATTGGAGCAAGTGAGCAGGCAGTACGAGATGTCTTCACAAGGTAATATTTTATATGGAATGAAGATAATTGTGTATAGTAGTTGAAGACTGTAAGACTTTCATTTAGAACAGTAAGACCAAATGTTTATAAATCACAAGATTAGCTGAACAGAATTAACAGTAACTAGCAGATAGTTTTTTTTTTTTATATATGGTGACTGATGATTATTTCCTTGAGATGGAGAAGACCTGAGTACTACTGTTTCTGAATAAAATGTGTCATGTCCAAAAAAACACACAAATATATAGTTACATAGTTAGTCTGGCTGAAAAAAGGCAAAAGTCCATCCAAAAAAATATCTGTGTTAGGTCATGAATAGCTGAGCACTTTGTGGAGCCGTTCTGCTTCATTGTTATTACTCTTATAATAAACGTCAAGATTCTTTTTAAACTATTTAAAAGTATTTTTTGATCCTGCGATGCCTTTTGTATGGATGCCTGTGTGAGCGCCTGGATCCCTGGCGGAGCCACTGCTGGATATTGACATCAAGTGTGCTTTGACCATTTATAATTTACTGGTCCATCACATCTGGTAAGAGGCGTCTGTCTAACTATTGCACTGGGTGGCAGAGTATCTTATGGTGGATCACATTGCGACTTGTGTGCAACGTGTGGTTGGTCACCTACACTGTAAGACTGGACTGTCTTGGATATACCCAGTTACATTTAGTTGGACTAGGATGTATTGATATTTATTTTGTTTCAATCTGTAACATAATTTTATAATGGACTCACTTGGTACAATGTTTATATATGTGTGAACACTTTGCATACACATTTATATGGGTTAGTTTTTTGATTTTCACATTTGCTGATTTTTTTTCACATTTATAATATTGAATGTATTTAGTTTTTAGCGCTGCTTTTTTTTTTTTTTTTTGCTTACACAAATAACGTTGCTTAAAGTGTTACTAAACCCAGGACCCTACATTCACTATATCTGGTCTCCCCAGACCCTGCATTCACTATATCTGGTCTCCCCAGACCCTGCATTCACTATATCTGGTCTCCCCCAGACCTTGCATTCACTATATCTGGTCTCCCCGGTCCCTACATTCACTATATCTGGTCTCCCCAGACCCTGCATTCACTATATCTGGTCTCCCCGGTCCCTACATTCACTATATCTGGTCTCCCCAGACCCTGCATTCACTATATCTGGTCTCCCCGGTCCCTACATTCACTATATCTGGTCTCCCCAGACCCTGCATTCACTATATATGGTCTCCCCGGACCCTACATTCACTATATCTGGTCTCCCCAGACCCTGCATTCACTATATCTGGTCTCCCCGGACCCTGCATTCACTATATCTGGTCTCCCCAGACCCTGCATTCACTATATCTGGTCTCCCCAGACCCTGCATTCACTATATGTGGTCTTCCCGGACCCTGCATTCACTATATCTGGTCTCCCCGGACCCTGCATTCATTATATCTGGTCTCCCCAGACCCTGCATTCACTATATCTGGTCTCCCCGGACCCTGCATTCACTATATCTGGTCTCCCCGGACCCTGCATTCGCTATATCTGGTCTCCCCGGACCCTGCATTCACTATTTCTGGTCTCCCCAGACCCTGCATTTACTATATCTGGTCTCCCTGGACCCTGCATTCACTATATCTGGTCTCCCAGACCCCACATTTACTATATCTGGTCTCCCCCGACCCTGCATTCACTATATCTGGTCTCCCCGGACCCTGCATTCACTATATCTGGTCTCCCCCAGGACTCTGCATTCATTAGATCCGGTCTCCCGCACCCTGCATTCACTATATCTGGTCTCCCCGGACCCTGCATTCACTATATCTGGTCTCCCCGGACCCTGCATTCACTATATCTTGTCTCCCCGGACCCTGCAGTCACTATATCTGGTCTCTCAGGACCCTACATTCACTATATCTGGTCTCCCCGGACCCTGCATTCACTATATCTTGTCTCCCCGGACCCTGCAGTCACTATATCTGGTCTCTCAGGACCCTACATTCACTATATCTGGTCTCCCCGGACCCTGCATTCACTATATCTGGTCTTCTAGACCCTGCATTCACTATATCTGGTCTCCCACAGTACACAGAACATAGAAATGCAATTATTTTAGTAAATATAAACTGCTAAATACCTTTTCTCATCAGCAGTTAGAGCAGCCCTGTGACTTCTATCAGTGTCCAGCAGAGCAGTGGTTAAAGCTTGTAGAATGAGTTTTCATAGTCCCCTGACTGTGTATGACACTGCATGACCCCTGACCTTCTGTCTAGACATTGCTAATTGGACCAAAGAAAAAAAAACCCTCTAGCAATACACAGTAAACTAAGCATGTGCAGAGTGACTCCTAGAGCTCTGCACTATCTGCAGATGGATTGGGGACAGTAGAAGAAAGGAAGAATCAGAGAAAAAAGGATCAAACTTCTATCAGTGTCCAGCAGAGCACTGGTTAAAGCTTGTAGAATGAGTTTTCATAGTCCCCTGACTGTGCTATGATGCTGCATGACCCCTAAGCCTTTGTTTGGACAGTGCTGATTGGCCCAAAGAAAAAAAAAAAACCGTCTGGCAATACACAGTAAACTAAGCAGAGTGACTCCTAGAGCTCTGTACTATCTGCAGATGGATTGGGGACAGTAGAAGAAAGGGAGGATCAGACAAGACAGGATCAAACAGCCTTTTTACACAATGCAGAGGATTAACCCCTTAGGTTCCACAGTGAGTATAACAAGCATGCTTTACTGCATATACAGACTGATTTTACTGTTGTGGGTTTAGTAACACTTTAAGTTGACCATACACCAGTAGAATTTGTTTTAAAATGTTTGTTTTCTGAACGTTTGTTCAATTTTCTACTGGTCACTGAGGTCAAATTGTTTGTTTTCAACCATTGTAATGAGGATATTCAAAAAAACAGGATGGAAAATGTTTCTCAGGCAGACAAAATTCTCGTTCGCATGGCGTACTTAAGCATACACTTGTGCTCGGGCCGTGTTTGCCCCAAGTGGATGCACAGAACACTTGCAGGCAGGCAGTCCTATTCACGTCAGTTGGGGTGCAGGAACTGCACAGACGTAGACGCTGCCTCAAACGCAGATAGTGTGCATTCAGGGACTCGCATGTGCATGCATCCGCATGGATGTCAAATTGGAAGCAGCAGCTGCGTGTGTGCAGTCACTGCACCCCAATTGACGTAAATTGGACTGCCTGCTTGCAGGTGTTCTGTGCATCCACGTGTGAGCAAACATGGCCCTTGCACAAGCGTATGCGTAAAGAGGAGTTCCAGTCTCCTGTGTCAAAAAATAAAAGTTAGCAGCTACAAAAACTGTAGCTGCTGACTTTTAATAAACAGCCACTCACCTGTCCCACGATCCAGCCATGTGCTCACCCCAGCAAATTTTATCTCCTGTCATCTGTACCCGGTGCCGGCATGTTAACTGTGGGCACCCGGCTGTCACAGCTTGTGGTTTCACAACTGAGTGCCAACTGCGCATACACATTCTGCATTGCGCATTGTGAGTTGCCCTGCAGTCATCTGAGACCTGTCACGTGTCCCAGAAGAATGCAGGGAGGAGGGGAGGAAGAACTTCCGCTTCCAGTCACCTAGGTGGTCGGAGCGTAAGTGGGAATGGGTACCTGTCAAAATCAGGTAAAATCCCATTGCCCGGCATGTCCGCAGCTATGTCCTCTGCTCTTCTGCAGCTCCTGGAATGTCTGCTGCCCAGTGCAGAAGAGCAGAGGACATAGCTGCGGACATGCTGGGCAATGGGATGGAGCCCCGGGCTCTGAAATACGAGCAAACTCTGCTGTAGGAGACCTCTGGCTACCTGGATCTGCTTTGGATTAGCACTGCATCCTTAAGGGAAGATCAACCCACTTTGACCGGACCGGTTCTCTCCTTGATTGAGGATCTATGGGCTTTGATGCATACCGCTTACTTACATCTGTCTTCTGGTGAGTGCGCATTTCTGCTTTTTTTCACGGACCACCACCATTGATTTTCTACTTGTCATCTGGCACGTTTTTATGAATAGACTTTAGTGGACTTTCTTTCAGACTTTATTATCTAGCGCTGCACTTTTGTTGATATTACTCTGTTTAAGTATTTTTTGGTTGCTTTGAGTACTTAGCTGCTTTTTTGGATTAGCACTCACTCTTTTATTATTATATACATAGCATTAGGCTTTATGAACAGTCACAGTCTACAAAGTGAGGCTAAGACAATAGATGATACAACTTTCTTTTCACTATTGTGTTCTGCCGGTAGGGAGCTTTACCAGCCAGCAGAACACAATGATCACTCCTAGCTGCTATAGCTACCGTTGGTGATCGCATGCAAAAAATCCGACAGGCTGGTTTTACTGAAGTCGATCAATGGATCAACTTCAGTACAACCAGCTTGCCCATAGATGTATCAAATCTTGATCCTGGCTTCATAGACAGGATGGTATACTGTAGATATACTGCTGTTCTCCCTGATATATTGTATGGTTTCAAGAAACGTGACTTCGCTTTTATCACTGGCCCAGTTTTCATTGTCTTTCTTGTGTTATATGATTACAGAGCACAGGCTGCTAAGCCCTGTATCCTTTTCTTTGATGAGTTTGACTCTATTGCACCCCGGCGGGGCCATGACAACACCGGTGTCACTGACAGAGTGGTCAACCAGATGCTGACCCAGCTAGATGGGGTGGAGGGATTACACGGTGAGATTATTTTTGCCATAGGAAGCTGACCACACATTCCTTACAGGATTAATGCAAAAGGTCATTCCTTTTTTTTTTTTGTTTGTTTGATTCTTCTTTCCATAGGAGTTTATGTACTGGCAGCTACAAGCCGCCCAGATTTGATCGATCCTGCTCTACTCCGACCTGGACGTTTGGATGAGTGTCTGTACTGTCCACCTCCAGACCAGGTCAGCATGTAAAACAGATATAGAAACATAAGTGTATCTAAAGAACTAAAAGGAGAATGGCACCCAAAGATTTTGATGACGGGGCTTGGCCTAAACAAACTACACTATCCCTCATCCCACATCAGAACGCTGTCATCCAAAGAACACCTCCAGCCGCTGTTTGATGGTGATTCCTTACCACCAGATTATGCTCAGAGACACAAACAGAGATCTCCCATAGCGTAATACAGTAATGTTTATTGAAGAAAAAGTATTTAAAATTGCCCACTCACATTTTCACAGATGATTAATCGCAAAATATAAATCTCAATATATACCCTGATGAAGTCACGTGATATTCGTGACGCAACGCGTTGGTACACCCTGACGACATTTCCGGTACGCGGTGACGTCACTTCCGACGTACGCGCCATATTGGGACTCCAGATATACCCACAGCATAAGGCTACTATGAGGATGTATATTATGCGATTAATCATCTGTGGAAATGTGAGTGGGCAATTTTAAATACTTTTTCTTCAATAAACATTACTGTATTACGCTATGGGAGATCTCTGTTTGTGTCTCTGAGCATAATCTGGTGGTAAGGAATCACCATCAAACAGAGGCTAGAGGTGTTCTTTGGATGACAGCGTTCTGATATGGTATCAAGTGTGGCCCTGTAGACCGGTTGGCTCCTGAGGGATACATCCTATATAAAACAAGGCATATTGGCCCTTGTGGTCAGTGCGGCGAGGTGAGGAGGCACTCAGAACATTATAGGATTGTGGCACCAGTGGCACTTTCACGGTTTCCAAAGGCTCACAGATTTTTGTTTTGAAGTGGACTGCATATTGTTATTCACCAATATCACTTATTTTAGTGTGTTATATCTGCACGATCTTGTGTGTAACCACTATACAAGTATTAAGTCACGTGTTGTCTTCCCTTTATGGGGATGCACGAGGGGATTGTATTTATGCATGTTCATCTGTGTGCTGTTTGAGAGTATATCTATATATATATCTCTATTTATAGGTTATTTATACCTAATGTTTAGGTTCCATATATGCACATTTATTTATGTATAGTGGAATTTTCTAGCGCTACACCATTCTATATATATTTTTCTCTTTATGCACTTTTTGGTAAAAAGGAGGGTGTTGGCAGCTTGAGGTATTTTCTCCATCTGAAGCGCAGGAGGTTTTAATATATTTTGTAGGCTGGTTGTACTGAAGTCTATCAATGGATCGACTTCAGTACAACCAGCCTGCCCATAGATAGATTGAATCTCACCCGGGCCCTGCTGAATCGTCCAAGGTTCAACCCATCTATGGCCAGCTTAAATCTGCTGTTCATTTTTGATTTTCGGTTAATACTTTTGCATCATATTATTGGTTCAAATTGTCCATATGTGTGTCAGGTTTATATGGTTTATGTACAGTAAATATACACTAGAATTAATTTACATAATTATTATATACTTTATTATTTACATTACATTATTCCTTACATTAGCATTATATCTGTAATTATAACAACATTTTTAGTTTTCTTTCAGTCTGATTTATTTCTGGTTTCTATGTTTGTACACATACTAAAGGCTTCAAGATATGAAATCCTAAAATGCTTGAGTCAGTCCATGCTCTTAGATGATGATGTGGATCTGCAGCACATGGCCAGTGTGACAGAAAACTTCACCGGAGCTGATCTGAAAGCTTTGTTATACAATGCCCAGTTGGAAGCCATCCATGCTGGCCTTGGAACTAGCATATCAGTGCAGGTATGTCTATCCAAGTCTGGAAAATTCAGCAGAAGCTAGACTTGAGTGTGAGCTAAAACAAAGACCGAAACAAGGGCATGCAGTTGATGACTCCAGATTAAATTTGATTGTGCGTCTCACAAATTGTATACTGATTCCATGTAGGTGTCCTAAGCTTCATCTAGTCTGCTTTGCTACTGTGGGAGCTGGGAAGCTCTATAAGACCTAATCACAAAAATGGAGTGATTTCCAAGTTAACTGTAATGTAGAATTAAGTAGAATCAGCAGTTTACAATAAATGACAAAAAACACTATTAAAGTGTACCTGAAAATGAATGTCAAAGCTACTTTCTACATAATAATAGTAAATGGTCATTTAGAGCTTGAAAATCTAAATGTATATCTAAAGCCATTTCTTTAATCTTTGATAGAGTAGAAATTGGTTTGAGCCTGTCAGTTTTTCCCCAGATTTTAAATGATAAGTTCACTTTTAAAAAAAAAAAAAAAAAAGTAAATGCACATTTTTTGAAGGTAAAAAAATGTGCATTTATTTTTTTTCTAAGGAACCTGCAGAGCATTTCACCTACAATCAGAAGATCGCGGGTGCAATCTCAGGCTACTGCATACTCTCAGGTTAGCTGTCTGCCCGTTCCTCATACGGGTAGACAGTTACTTGAGAGCAGGAAGGATCAATGCACTACCAGAGCACTCACCAGCATCCTGGTAGTTCATTGAGAACTACAAGCCATCAGCTGCAATGGCTGATGGTACTTGTAGACCACTCATTCACTGGAATGATGCAGCCATATGCGTGGAGCTCTGCATTTGTGCAATTGTGACAGCGGGAGCAGGGAGAGAAACCCCCCACCTGCTGTCACGGGGGTGCAGGGTACAGATGCTGGAACATGTTACATGTTCTACCCTAAAAAATGGGCGGAACATGTAACATGTTCCAAAGGTGAACTTATCCTATAATTTCTGTCTGTTGGGAAGGTAGTCCATCCCTTTTTGTGAAGACACATACTAAAGGCTGGAGAGTGCAAAATCAGGCTCACTTCTGCATAGAAACCAATCAGCTTCCAGGTTTTATTGCCAACGCTTAACTGAACAAGCTGAAGTTACAAGCTGATTGGTTTCTATACAGAAGTGAGTCTGATTTTGCACTTTCCAGTTTTAGTAAATAAACCATAGTGGGAGGCGGGAAAAAAAAATCTCTCCAAAGTGAGTTTGTAGTCATTAGAACAGGTGTTCCTATTGGATGATTTCCTAGCTATTCCTGTTTGGGTGACAACTATACATTTTTGGATTCATTATCATTTTATTCTGACAATGGTCTGCAGAACACATAGAGGAGGTGAATCTGTGGCAGCACAGTGGCTAAATGGTAAGCACTTCCGCCTGGCAGTACTAGGGACGTTGGTTCGAATCCCATCCACGGCACCTCCTGCCTGGAGTTTGCATGTTCTCCCTGTGCCTGCGTGGGTTTCCTCCGGGTACTCCAGTTTCCTCCCACACTCCAAAGACATGCTGGTAGGTTAATTGGATCCTGTCTAAATTGGCCCTTGTATATTAATGTGAGTTAGGGACCTTAGATTGTACACCCCTTGAGGGTTAGGGTCTGATGTGAATGTACAATATATATGTAAAGCGCTGTGTAAATTGACGGCGCTATATAAGTACCTGAAATACATAAAAAAAAAAAAATAAATAAATAAAATCTGCACAGAGGGGACACAGACAGCAATAAAAAAATGACTGGCTGTTCACCCTGTCCCTACTATATTATAAAAACAATACACATGGCTTTAGATATACTTTAAAGTGATTTTAAAAAGGCAATTTGTTAAAAAAATTAATAAACATGTTATACTTACCTGCACTGTGCAATGGTTTTACACAGAGCAGCCCCGATCCTCCTCTTCTCAGGTCCCCTGCCGGTGCTCCTGAGTGCCCCCACAGCAAGCTGCTTGCTCTGGGGGCACTTGTGTGTGCTTGCTCCCGAGCTGGCTCAGTATGTCTATTGCTCTCTCCTTAGTGGCCTGGCAATCAAAGCTCTCACTGCTGCCTCTCTGTCCAGTGGGGAGAGAGAGCCAAGAGAGTTGCTGCTCTCATGCAAATCTCTGGTTTAGGATTGGGCTCAGGTAAGTTTTTATGTGAGGGCTGGGGGTCTTGCATGCAGAAGGTTTTTTACCTTAAGGCATAGAATGCATTAAGGTAAAAAAAAAACTTGTACCTTTAGAACCACGTTTACATTTTACTGTCAGGTGGGACTGTGGGCATCAGCGGTCAGTTTACACAAACAAGAGGTATGTTTATCAAACTCTATATTACTATTTTTCTCATCTATTAATGGGCTCAGGAAGGTTTATAGTGCTGCCTACATTGGGGTTTGGATACTGGCAACATAAAACTGTAGGAAAACTACTACTACTACCAGCATGCCCCAGTTTTTTGCTAGATGGGCATCATCTCTTCAGCTCTGCAATGTAGAAGAGTGGGCTTATTGTGTGAGCACCTATTTTTCTTACTATTCAGGATTTTCAGAATTCAATCCATTGGGGGTCTTCCATCTGTGTTCGTTATCACATTCTGGGTACTGCTTTGCCACAAAACCGCGAAATTCTGGTAATAGAAGGGATTAGCTAGCCTACAGGGTTTTTTTTTTTGTTTTCCAGTGTCCAGTCCTCTTGTAGGTGGCAGTAAAACCCAAAGGTGAGAGATTTCTGTGTCCCTTAGTAAACTCCAAGAAAGTATTTTATGGTGAGTAGAAAAATCCAATTTTCTATGCTTTAATAGATCAAATAATGGTAATAGTTTTTGGGAAAACAGACAGCAGTGTAGCTCAGTCAGAGGATAGTGTTGTAGGTACAAGAAAGGACAGTTTTCCAATATTTGTCTGTTGGCACTTTCAGGACAATGGTTCTGGATCTGATAGTGATGCGAGTTTATCATCAATGATATTCCTGAACCACAGCAGCGTGTCTGATGAATCAGGAGGAGAAGTGGACAGTGTCTTAGATCAATCCCTTACCTCTCTGGAAATGATCAAAATTCCCCCAGAAGACCCAAAATCCAGTATATGGCGTCTGTATTTTGGGAGCTCCAATGATTCAGATCTGGGAAACGGCAGTTCCGATAAGGTATTACCCAAATTTAAATGTAGGTAAATGTATTTATTTCTGCATGAATGGTTGGCCTGTCTGTATATTTCCCGATGAACTAGCTAATCAAACTTTCTTTTGCTCTGTAATATGAAACGTGGATGCAATTATCTAATGAAGAGTTAAAGTGTATGTAAAGACAAGGTTTTTTGAATAGACTGTGGAAGGGTTATACCTTTTTGTTAAGTTTGTATTTCTGTCTGTGTCCTTTCTGTAGAGATTAAACCTTCTATTTCATTTTATGTTTACAATACAGGAAGTAAAGGAAAACATCCTTGGGGACACAGGCAGCAATATATAACTTGAGATAGTTTTAACTTTTAACCCTTCCCTACTCTATCTAAAACTGAAAAAATAGGGGTGACCTCAACATACACTTTAAACATGAAGCAGAAGGAGAAATAATAATAAATGTACAGACTTATTAATTAAAAATGCACAGAGAGCAGTGATAATGGGCAGAATTTGATAAAACACGGTGATATTTGTATCGGTTTACTGAAATCAAATTGATGAATTGTAATTGATTGATTGGCATCTTTACACATTACATACTGCTCTCTGGTGGCATGCTTTTCAATATACAACTAATATAACTGGTATCGTCATATTTTAAATGTGTTAACTATGTTATTTATCTTATTTAGCTGAGCTCGCAAAAGTAATTGCATCCAACACAACTGTTAAAGGAAACCTGTACTAAGATGAATGTGTAGGCTGCATTCCCCCTAAAAAATGCTAGCTGCCTGGCTGTGTTTGGCTTCAGTGTGATCTTGCATTGGGCTAGCTTTCTTTTCCTGTTAAATATTTGCTGGATCTGCAGGCTGTTTCTAAATTCAGCTGCCTCTCTGCCCATCTCAATCCTGCCTTTGAAAAAATCCTGATCCAACACACTTCTTTGCACCAATAAAGAGTTTTTGTGCTACTACCCTCTGTTAATGCCTTTACTGTCATTGATCTGTAGGCACTAACGTTTTGTGAGGCTGTTTTGGGTTTTTGTTATAAGGGTTAAAAGATTTTTTTTTTAAAATACTTAGGACTGGTATATCTGTTGCATATTCTCATTTGAAGTGGCATTGCTTCAAAAGGCACTAGAAGGTTCATTTAAATATATTCCTCAATAGCCACAAAAGTATATAAATCCAATTTGTGTACACCAAATGCGTTTGCAAACCCAATTGTAAAAGTAGTAGTGCTGCACATAACCCGTGCAGAGGACAGAGATATGCGAAGAACCCATTAGGCTCCACTCACTACAGCCTGTATGCAGAAAACTACAGGAGGGGCGGAGACAAGACCAGTCACCCTGCACGAGGAGTGGGAGCAGCAGTGACCGGTCTTTATTATAGGAAGCTTCTGCACAAAGGAAAGGTTTTTACACTAGATTACTGCACAGATCTGGATGAAATACACATGGCTTTTGCATTAAGCACCTCCCGCCTGCCATATAGTAATATGACGGGCGCAAGGTGGTTCTCTCGTTCTGGGAGGACGTCATATGACGTCCTCCCATTCTCACTGCGCACGCGCGGCTCAGGGAGCGCGCAGCACGGCGATCGGCAGTGCGCTGTTTCCCTCGGACACAGCGGATCACCGATCACGGAAAGAGCCGAAGATGTCGGTGCCCTGATAATAAGTGTGCCCTTATGATCAGTGTAGCCCCAGCAGTGCCACCTGTCAGTGTCCATCAGTGCCTCGTGCCAGTGCCCATCAGTGCCACATATCAGTGCACACCAGTGCACATCAATGCCACATATCAGTGCCCATCTGAGCTGCCTTTCAGTGTCACCCATCAGTGCCAGTCAGTGCCACCTATCAGTGCTGCCAATCAGTGCCACCTATCAGTGCCACCTATCAGTGTCAGTCAATGCCACCTATCAGTGCCAGTCAGTGCTGCCTATCAGTGCCAGTCAGTGCCGCCTAGTAGTGCCAGTCAGTGCCGCCTATCAGTGCCATGTATCAGTGCTGCCTTTCAATGTCCATCAGTGATGCCTGTCAATGCCCATCAGTGCCACCTACCAGTGCCTCCTCATCAGTGCTCATCAGTGCCACCTATCAGTGTCCATCAGTGCAGCCTATCAGTGCCCATCAGTGCAGCCTCATTAGCGCACATCAGTGAAGGAGAAAAATCACTTATTTACAAAATTTTATAACAAAAACTAAGAAAAAAACTTTTTTTTTTTCAAAATTTTCAGTGGTTTTTGGTTTGTTTAAGAAAAAATAAAAAACCCAGAGGTGATTAAATACCACCAAAATAAAGCTCTATCTGTCACAAAAAAATGATAAAAATTTAATATGGGTACAGTGTTGCATGACCGCGCAATTGTCATTCAAAGTGCGACAGCGCTGAAAGCTGGAAATTGGCCTGGGCAGGAAGGGGGTATAAGTGCCCTGTAGGCTAGTGGTTAAGGAAATATTTGTTTATCCCCAAAGTTACATTTTCAGTCTGTATATGGCAGTATTCTCTTCTCTTTTACAAATGCATACTATGTCCAATACAATCCACTGGTATCTAGAAGAAAAAATACTACTCTTCTTGTTATGTACAGCCTGCAGTGATAAGGAGGAGGTCAGGACACAGCAAGAGCCTTCTGATACACAGTGAAGCTCAGCTGATTGGGGCTAGCACTCTTTCTGGGAAAACTGCATGTGATTTTTCTTGGAATGTTGAACTTTATGTACTAATATCTTGTAATTCTTATCTACACACTCAAATCGTTTAAGGCAAATTACCGAAGAATGAGAAAAAATATAAATTTGTACTCGTTTCCCCAACCTTTACTGTGTTGTAGCAGTTGCGTCATTGTGCGTCAACCATTATTCCCAACAGCAGGTGTAATATGTCTTCCTTCAACTGTCTTTACAGACCTGCCACAGCTTGTCTGGAAGCAATTCCTTAACTCATGATTTCACTGGCTTGTCTGTAGGAGAATTAGTGCCTTCCCAACCAATAGTGCTCATAACCTCCTTACAAGAAGATCAGCGGGAGCACTGTCAGAGTCTAAACGCTGAGATCTCTGTTCCCACCTACATGAATGTGGTATATTGACTTTCCAAATGCTTCTGTCCTTCCCCATCTGTGTTCCTTCCTTGTTCCTCCATACACACCATACAAGAAGGCAGACAGGTCTATTAAAGGGACTTGTAATACAGCAAACCACATCTCGCAAACCTCATATAAGCCGTCTTTAGCGGTGGGTGCTTGGTTCAATGGTGACACCAGGCAAATCCAAACATAGAAAAAGCCAACACTTTACTGAATTTCCGAGATGACTGTTTACTGAAGTCCTGTGTCAACGTTTCAAGGGTATGCAGACTTTCTTTTCTCTATCACCTAAAAAAAACAGTCCCCCAAAATGTTGGTGTTTCTACTGGTATGGGTACTCTGAAAACATTGGTGTTTCTATTGACATGGAACATCAGTAAACCACCATCTTGGATATTTGGAGCGCTGGCTTTTTTCTATGATTGGTCCCATATCAGTTGAACCACAGTTTCTAGGGTATGCAGAGGTTTTCAAGGGTATTCAGAGGTTTTCTAGGGTATGCAGAGGTATTCGAGGGTATACTTTTTATGTCTGTCACCTTGAAAAGACGGTTGCTCGAAATGTTAAAAGTTTCTACTGACATGGGAGTTCAGTAAATCATCATTTTGGAAGTTTAGCTGGGGTGCTGGTTTATTTCTATGTTAGGGCTGATTAAAGGAAACCTGTGTTGAGAGCAGTACATAGATTGGCAATGCCGACCTCTCCTTCTACAATTGCCAGTTGCATGGGTGTAAGGCTGATGCCCTGAAATTAGTACTTTCTGATACACAGTCCTGGAACAAGCATGCAGATCAGGAACTTTTCTTCCAGTGACTTCGGTGGCTATTTGCTCTTTTTGGGTCATTGAATATGAAAAACGTTGGGATTGGCATGATTTGAGTTAGGAAGTTAGGCAGTTTTTAACATTACCTATTTTAAGGTTTTCATAAGGTTGTTGTTTCTCTGAAATTAAAAAAATTAGAGCAACAATAAAGAGACATTGGGGGGGTTATTTAATAAAACCAATGAGTGCAGAATCTGGTGCAACTCTGCATAGAAACCAATCATCTTCCAGGTTTTTTATTGCCAAAGCTTAAAGCAGAACTTCAGTTAAAATTTTTATTTTTCTATGCAGTGGGGCTGTGCCCGCACTGCACATGTCAACTGCTTGCTTTCCTTCGGAAAATAGCACACCCGCACGTCCAGCAGTGGACTGTTCCTGCCTTCCTCACAGGAACAGCCCATTCACAAGACTGCAACATGCGAGGGGCAGGAGTGGTGTAGACTGGTCTTGTGCTCGGAGGATCGGTGAACTAGGTAAGTATATCTCTTTCCGAACCCCTAGACAAAAACGAGCATTTAACCCATGCAGTGCGGGCACAGCCCTACTGCATGGAAAATACAATTTTTGCCCAGAATTCTTCTTTAATTGAACAAGCTGAAGTTAAAAGCTGATTGGGTACCAAGCACAGCTGCACCAGATTCTAAGTGCACCAATTTTAGTAAATCTACTCCATTGTCACCTTTTCTATTCAGGGCAATGTGAACCCACCCCCTGACCACCTCATGCTGTCCATCATTCCCTCCACTGTTCCTTATTCTGTGCCCACCACTGCAAAATACCCAAAGTGCATTGGAGTGCTGCGGTACCATACACCTTCCTGACACACCTCCTTTGCAGCACACCTATTTCCATGCATTGTAGTGTGCTGGCCCAATTTGCTGGCCCAATTTTTGTTCCATTAGGGTATGTTTTGCAGCTCATTTACATACATGGGTAGCCTAAATGCAACTCATTCACACATGCGATTGCATATGACGCGTCTGTGGTAAACGCACTGCATAGGCCCATCCTGTTGTCAATGGGTCCTTAAAAAGACACTGCAACGTTTGCCTACATGAGAAAGCTGACAGTGTCTCTTTGTGCATTGGTAGACTTTTTATGCAGGCACATTGCCTGACTGTACAGGAATCTTTCCAAGACAGTGTATAGCATAGCAATTATACAAAAAATGTCACTACTATTGCACAGAAAGAGGTATAAAAAAATGTGTTTTTCTTATACGGGATCAGACAGTTCGACTTTCAAATCCTAATCATCCTTAGCCTTATAGGGTCTTATTTATACTAACCTTTACTAAACTGTAGCTATTGCTTTAATATTTTCTTGCTGCGCATCAGCTTCCATGCTTCTGATCATTCAATTACAATTCTTGGTCCCAACCCTTTTGCCTTTCTAGCCTCCTTACTGTTTTTATATGGGATAAGCATCCTTTCAAAAAAGGTGCACCTATCCTTTTTGCCCCTCTTCTTGACCTAAACTACCTCACCATCCCTCCGACCAGATCCATACTTACCCAATCTGGCGGCCGGAGCCTGCAGTGTGTGTGTGTGTATATATACAGTTGCAAGAAAAAGTATGTGAACCCCTTGGGATTACGTGGAGTTTTGCATGAATTGGGCATAAAATATGCTCTGAACGTCATCTAAGTCACAACAATAGAAGAACACAGTCTGCTGAACATAATACTACACAAACATTAGATATTGCCATGGTTTAATTGCACATAACATGTAACATTCACAGTGCAGGGAGGAAAAAGTATGTGAACCTTTGGACTTCATAATTGGTTGACCCTCCTTTGGCAGCAATAAACCTCAACCAAACGTTTCCTGTAGTTGCAGATCAGACCTGCACAACGATCCGGAGTAATTTTGGACCACTCCTCTTCACAAAACTGTTTCAGTGTAGCAATATTCTTGGGATGTCTGGTGTGAATCGCTCTCTTTAAGGTCATGCCACAGCATTTCAATCGGGTTGAGGTCAGGACTCTGACTGGGCCACTCCAGAAGGCGTATTCTGTGCTGTTGCAGCCATTGTTTTGTTGAATTTACTTGTATGCTTTGGGTCATTGTCCTGTTGCATCACCCATCCTCTGCGGAGCTTCAGTTGGCGGACAGATGGTCGTACGTTTTCCTGCAAAATGTCTTGATAAACTCTGGAATTCATTTTCCCATCAATGACAACAATCCGTCCAGGCCCTGAGGCAGCAAAGCAGCCCCAAACCATGATGCTCCCTCCGCCATGTTTTACAGTGGGGATGAGGTTTTGATGTTGGTGTGCTGTGCCTTTTTTTCTCCACACATAGTGTTGTGTGTTCTTCCCAAACAACTCAATCTTGGTTTCATCTGTCCACAGTATATTTTGCCAGTAGTGCTGTGGAATATCCAGGTGCTCTTTTGCAAACTTCAAACGTGCTGCAATCTTCTTTTTGGACAGCAATGGCTTCCTCCTCCGTGGTGTCCTCCCATGTACTCCATTCTTGTTTAATGTTTTCCTTATTGTAGATGTGTCAACAAAAATGTTAGCATGTGCCAGAGATTTCTGTAGGTCTTTAGCTGACACTCTGGGATTCTTCTTTACCTCATGCAGCATTCTGCGCTGTGCTCTTGCAGTCATTTTTTACAGGACGACCATGCCTAGGGAGAGTAGCAACAGTGCTAAACTTTCTCCATTTGTAGACAGTCTGTCTTACATGGACACATGAACATCAAGGATTTTGGAGATACTTTTGTAACCCTTTCCAGCTTCATGCAAGTCAACAATTCTTGATCGTAGGTCTTCTGAGAGCTCTTTTCTGCGAGGCATGGTTCACATCAGACAGTGCTGCTTGAAACCAGTAAAACCCAAAACAGGTGTGTGTTTTTTAAGGGCAGGACAGCTGTCAGCAACACATCCAATATCATCACACTGATTGGAGTCAAGGTTGGCTCACTCCTGGCTCCAATTAGCTCTGGGAGAAGTCATTAAGCTAGGGCCTCACATACTTTTTCCTCCCTGTACTGTGAATGTTTACATATTATGTGCAATTAAACCATGGCAACATCTAATGTTTGTGTAGTATTATGTTCAGCAGACTGTGTTCTTCTATTGTTGTGACTTAGATGACGTTCAGAGCACATTTTATGCCCAATTCATGCAAAACTCCACGTAATCCCAAGGGGTTCACATACTTTTTCTTGCAACTGTATATATATATATATATATATATATATATATATATACTGTATATCCTGTTCTGACTCTGTGGGTTAGCTGTGCCATCTTTCCTTAGACTTCTATGAATGGTCCTCCAAGGCTGGAGATGCTCAGTGCATGCATAGACTTTTGGAACAGGATGTAAACTAACAGTGGATTGAGTTACGTATGCATCTCATGAAGCAGGAGAAATTTAGATCAGAAAAGGGGATCAAATGGATATATGCACTTAGTTTTAAAATACAATTATCCTTTAATTAAATCCATGAAAGCTGTACAGATATAATTGTATATAGCAGTATGTGAGGTAGTTTGAACGTTTTTGTTTTGGAATAAGGTAATGATGAGGATCTTGTATATTTTGCTTTCATGTTAGAGGTTTCTTCCACCTTCAAAAAAGTATGAAAACCTTTTGACCACTCAGCAGTGACCAGTCACTGATGAGTATCCATAATGGTGGTAGTAGGGATTTCTAGGCAACAGCCCAGGACCCATATAGTTATGGAGACCCAGATCTTTCTCATGAAGGATTAGTAGCGTATTTAAAGGGTAAGTGCACTTTAATAATAAAAACTGCCTTCATTACCCTCATCAGATTAACCATCATAAGTACACAGCTCCCTCGAATGCAGATACTTGTGAGTTCTTCAATGCCCAGCCTGTCTATGGCTGATGAGTGTACACATCCTGCAGTACACTAAAAGCTTATGACATGCATTGGATGCACCAATCCTAGTGTGAGAGCAGAATGGCTATCCAAGGTGTACGTGCCATGCTCAAAAATGTACGTCTAGGTTTGTTTCCCCCTGGAGGTAGACCAACGGTACTCCAAAACTCAGTGTCTACCTGGCACTTTAAATGGCAAGAGGGTTTAAGGCGAAGGGCAGGCAACTCCCGATAAAAGTACTTTATTAATAAAGGGTACAGAGTGCAAGTTACAGCAGTTTACGCATTTCTGTAAACAGCCTTATTCAAAGCCATAAAACAACTCAGAACAAACATATTTAAATACTAAACACAAAGAAAATCTATGTAAAAACTCCTCACACGCTGCACATGGCTCCATCAATTCAATTAATTTGTCCATTATTTACAGAAATTGTCTTTGTGTCTAGTATTTAAATATGTTTGTTCGGAGTTGTCTCAAGGCTATGAATAAAGTTGTCTACTGAAATCCGTAAACTGCTGTAGCTTGCACACTGTACCGTTTATTAATACAGTACGTTTATCGGGAGAATGAGTCGCCGGCTCATCACCTTATACTCTCATGCAAGTGCCATGCTGTAGGGGATTTGCAGACCAGCTAAACACAGAAAGTTGGGCTCTTTGGAATCTGAGAAAGGTGTAAACTTACACTGAGTAACACGCTGATGAGAACATTGAAGTGGAATGGCATTTTTCTTTTTAAAGTACTTACCCTAAAGACCTTTATTAAATAGCCTAAGGGTCTGGCATGGCGTATAGCCCCAAAAATTCTTGTGGACATTTTATTTTATGTAGAGCATAGAAATACTGTGTGTAAAATTAATTATATTAAAGTGTTAAAGTCTACTTTTGTAGTAATGAAGGGTTCAAACCCATCTTTTTTTTTTTTTTTTTTTGCTGTTTGTGTCTAGTTTGGGAGATTTCCCTTCACTTCTTGTACTAGTGATGCAACAGGAAGTGAGAGGGAATCTCTATGAAGTGTGGGGAATTATTATAGTTGTTGCAATAACAGGTGTCCCCACTGGAAGATTTACCTTCACCGCTTGTTCTGGTGAAAACTGTAAAACTGTCATTCCATTTGTCTCAGAGTAAATAATAATCACTCCCTACTATATCCAAAGCAAAAAAACAAAAAAGGGCAATCCATGGTTAATTTTAAGTATTCCATTCTCAAGCAATGGACAGAATAGGCAGCCTGTGACCTAGTAGTAGTTTAGTAGTAGTAGTAGTTTTATTTGGCACAAATTTCCCAGTCTCAGACCAGCGAAACACAAACTTGTATTTCAGTCGTGAATCTTCCATTTATCATTTATTGCTAATGATTAGAAACCATGTTTCAGGAGCCTCTTTGTCAGCCATCATGCTTTTTCAGACTCTGCCCCTAAAATGCTGCCTCTAATCTGTAACAAATCAATTTATACATGAAACAAATCTGAATTACTTGTTGTTGGTTCCCAAAAACATACTGTATGCATGAAGATGTATCTAGTCTGAAGAGAATCATCACGAATCACAGTAGTCTGGTTTTATGCATTTTTATATATATATTTGCATAACAGTGACCTTCTCTGATTCCGCCCAGATCTTCTGATTACTATAAACACGAGTTTCACCATTTCCATGCAAGTTTGTGCTTTGCTGCTTTGGTAATTCTTGGGGCATGAATGAGGACTCCCTTCATTGTCATAGCATTTTGCTGCCTCACTGGCTATGAGGAATGAGTTCACTGCAGACAACAATTATTCTGATGATATAGCATTGCTTGGGTGGTAGGAGCTAACCATATTTTGAGGGATATTTATAACAGAAAAGAGAATGTGAAAATTAGTGAGAAGTTGCCCATGGTAGCCAATCTTATTTTATCTTTAATTCTCTGAAAAATGCAACAAAGAGTCTAATTGGTCATCATTGGTAACCTCTTCCATTCTCTTTTATAAATAGCACCTTTGTCAGTTTTTTTTCAGAGAAAAATATATCACTAGCAACTTAAAGCTATAGATGGTCAGAATGGATGAAATCCAATAGGCAAGACTATACCAATGGCTACAGATGCGGAATGGGTTTCTTCCTTCACTGAAAGTGAAAACCCTTTAAAAATAGGACCTGATACGTTATAGGCCCAGGAATGCTATGGCGGAGGGTAGCAAAAGGGTAAATTCCATACAAAACCCATTGTTGTAAGGCTAATGTGAGAAGCAGAAACATATTTATTAAACAGTATTAGGGTTTATTCATCTATCCAGTTTACAGGTCCTCTAGAACAAGGGTCTCCAAACTTTACAAACAGAGGTTAACCTGAGGGATCCCCAACGTCAGTGATAGTAAACAATGCCTAAAGCTTGGTGGTCAGTAGGAGGACGAATAATGCTCCACGTTTGTTATCAGTGGGAGGAATAGTGCCCTATAGTTGGTGTTGGTGGGAAGAATAGTGCTCCATAGTTAGCGTCATTGAGAGGAATTATGCCCCATCGTTGGTGTCAATGAGAGGCGTTACGCCCCATTGTTGGTGCCCATGGGAGGAATAGTGTCCCATCATTGGTGTCAGTGGGAAGAATAGTGCCCCAATGTTTGTGTCATTGGGAAGAATATTGCCCCATTCTTTGGTGTCAGTGGGAGGAATTATGCCCCCTTATTGGTGTCAGTGGGAAGAATTATGCCCCATTGTTGGTGTCAGTGGGGTGAGTAGTGTCTCATTATTGGCATCAGTGGGAGGAATAGTGCCCTATTGTTGGTGTCAGTGGGAGGAATTATGTCCCATCATTGGTGTCAGTGGGAAGAATAGTGCCCCAACGTTAGTGTTGTTGGAAAGAATAGTGCCCCAAGGGCCGGATAAAGGCACACAAAGCGCCTCATCCAGCTCGTGGGCCATAGTTTGGAGACCACTACTACAGAACCAGCAAAACACTTCCCTGGTATTCTGATCATGTCATCTGTTTTTATGATATATCATTGTGAAAATAGCATATATGTTTCTTCCAATGGTCTGGAAGAAAACACTGAGAAGAATATATCTTCATAATAAATCTTTATCTTGTATCATTCAGCAGGAAACATCTCACTGCCCTGTAGAATCAAAGAAGAGAATACGCATCACCCAGCATCACCTTACGACTGCACTCACCAGCACAAGACCGTCAATAAGTGCAGAAGACAGGAGATTTTTTAATCATCTGTAAGCAATGAAAAAAAAAAACAAATGATGATATAGCTAAACAAACGTTAGCTATACCGTAATTGTATCTTTGAACACTAAAAGCTTTGTGGTTAGAGTACATCCAATTCATTTGATCCCTCTTGGAAGACCCTTCAAGGTTGGGTGAACTGTAACCACTTCATGATCAGCAATTTATGACCCTCATTCTTAAGAGAACAATAATGAACATTTCCCTGCTACTAGAATTTTCCCAGTGCAGTTGGATTAGTGGTTTCCATTAGGCTCCAGTTAGACATGTTTGGGTAAAGATCAAAACTAGCCATTGATCTGCTCCAAAAACTAGCAAATAGACAGGCCTGATATTGGCGAGGATCCCACCTAAAATCTCATACCTTTATTTAGCACAAGGGATACTTGTCCACTAAATAAAATAATTGGGTTCCCTTAAAGTGAATCTGTCACTATAGTAAATTCTCTGTAGAAATGGCATACCTCTAAATAAATGGTTACATGATCGGCTTTAGATAGCAGCCATGCTGCTGAATGTTGCTCCAATGCTGAGAAATGGTCCCCCAAACTCCTCTGGGAATCTGACACTTCCAGGAGTGATGATCTCCTGGGTCCCCCATAGTTCTCAATGGTTTCTCCTGATGACCCCCACCATACCACTGTATCCAGTAGTGATATGGAGCTCAGCAAGAGGAACTAGTGCCCCGTGCAGGGGACTCAGGAGATTGTCTCTTGGTTTCCCAGTGGATTTTAGGAGATCATTTCTCAGCAAAGCAACAACATTCAGCTTCTCAGGTGGTGAGTAATTTTTTAAGCAGATATATATATGCAACTCAAACTGTCAACAGTAACCAATGGGTAGAGGGGCCATGGTCATAAAGTGGCACAGCTCACTTTACCTTGAATGTTTCACAAAGGGGGATAAAATGTCATCCAGTCCCTAGCTACTCTCTTACCACAGAGCATTTGTTAAGCCGGCCATGGACGGTTTGAATTTCAGCTGGTTCAGCAGGGACCAGCCAAGATTTGAACCATGTATGGGCAGGTTGAATGTAATCAAGTTGATTGATTGATCAACAACCAGTCTGAGGGGTTTTACATGTGATTATTGCTAGCTGCTATTATAGCTGCTAGCAGTAATCACTGTGTCCTCTCCCAGCAACCCCCCCACCCTTCCCCAGCTGGAAGAACACAATGGCTCTGCAGGAGGGATTCCCCCATCAACAGGGACTGTGTTGATGGGAGGATCTAGTGATTTTTCTCTCCTGCAACCATGGGTTAAAAATCACACCTTCTATGGCTGGCTTAAGTTTCACATTCTTAGGTAATATCTACACACCTGATCCTGTGACTATTTTCTCTGTTGTTGCAAATAAGTTGCATCACATGGTTGCTCCTTTATATTTTTTTAAGAGTTTCAATGGAAATTTGGTCCTGTAAATGATCTAAGCCCTACTTGCCAATTCCTTATCCTTAAAAATGAACAAAATGGGCTGGAGAAGTGAAACTATTACTTTAAGATCACCAACTAATGCAGGCCATAGACGGGTAGTTTATCGGCCGAATTTTCGTCCGCACAAAAAAAATCGGCCGATATACACGCACTTAGTGGGGCTAACCCGTCAGCCGTTTTTCGCAGATCTTCTCATTTATTTTTATCAGTCATGCTGGGAAATCCATTGGTGGCAGCATCGGCAACGGGGCCAATTTTCGTTTATCGGCCGATAAATGGCCCGTCTATGGCCTGCAATACTCAGATATTCCCAAAGAGCAAAGTCTGTGTTTGATTGTTACCATGAACCCAGGCAAGTAACTATAGTTCTGCTCCTTGTGGCCCCAGGTTTGCCCCTTAGTAACAATTTAGTGGAGACTGAAATGCAGCTGATGAGGTAAGGGTCTCTATAACAAGGGATGATGAAACCTGCTGGCGCTGAACCACAATTTAAATACAATGGTATCTCGATTTACGAATTTAATGCATTTCCTGGGACGTTTCGTATTGCGAAAAATTCATAAACCGAAACGCGGTTTCCCATAGGAATGCATTGAAAACCAATTAATCCGTTCCGGAGGTCAGAAAGAAGTTAAAAAAAAAAAAGTCTTTTATCTGTTCAAAACTCTTTATAAACTGCACTTTAAAGGCATAAATACTGTACAGGGACATGATTCATTTCCAAAATGGCTCCAAAAAAACTCGATGCAAAAACTGCTCCAACACCTCCACACTCGACGCCACGTGCTACCCAGACTCTGGCATGCACGGGGTTGGAGCTATAAGCCTCCCAGGCGCATTGCATCCTGGGGAAACTTGCTTCGTATTGTGAAAAAAATTTGTAAACCGAGGCATTATTTTCAATGGATTTTCATTCGTAAACCGAAAAATATGTTAACCGAGGCGTTCATAAACCGAGGTACGCCTGTGTCAGCTTTCAATAAAGTTAAAGAGACACCTGCGCATTCAGGTCAAAGTGACGGTGCCTCTCAATAGCCCTCACCTCCAGCAAGGTACCCATCAGCTCCCCACTGCAGAGTCCACCCTAAACACTAGTGTTGAAGCTGAACCGTTCATTTTTATTTTTTTTTTTTTTTTACAGCTATGAAAACTTCCAAAATCCGAAGAAATCAGGTGGACAACTCTCTAGAAGTGGCAAGAAAGTAACACTGGCCTAATATCCTCTATGTTAAGAATTTGCTGTAAAAGTAATGTATAATAATTTGAGTTATGTTCATAACACAGAAAAAATAAATACATTTATTTTTTAAGTCCTCCTTATCTTTCTTACTTATTTACAATATAAAATAAGTTGATACAATATGATAAAATAAGTAGTGGGCTCCTAACTTGCTGTGCTCTCTGCATGTGCTGCCCTTTTCAACCCCATCATTTATCAGCGATGACCAGCTCACTTTTGGGGGCTACAGAACACCTTTCCCACTATGTTTTGGAGATGTTCCATAGTTCTATCACACTTCCTATTCTAGGATGACAGTGCTACTCTTCCATAGAAACAGTACAGTGAATGAGTGTTGCCAACCTAGGACAGGAAGTGTGTTACTGGCAGGATCACCACGATAAAAAAATATCTTGAAAAAAAGAAAACTGATGCAGCCGCCACATCTATGGACTGGTTGGCTGAAATATTCAGTGTTTGGTTTTGGATTAACACTTTAGAGGTACACTCTAATTATTTAACATGAAAAAGTTTGCTTTGAAACTCGGTCACTACAGTTTTATTCTCACATAGGGATTTGGTTATATAGTTGGCATTCTCTGTCTCTTAGTTTCAGGTACTCACACACTGCTCTGCGTACGCGTTTTTTTTTCCGCGGAGCCTTGTGTTTTTGATGCATTTGCATTGCGTTTTTTCCCTATACAGTGAGGAACAGAAGTATTTGAACACCCTGCAATTTTGCAAGTTCTCCCACTTAGAAATCATGGAGGAGTCTGAAATTCACATTGTAGGTGCATTCCCACTCTGAAAGACAGAATTTAAAACAAAATTCAGGAAATCACATTGTATGATTTTTAAAGAATTTATTTGTCTCGCACTGCTGGACATAAGTATTTGAACGCCTAAGAAACAGCAAGAATTCTGGCTCTCAAAGACCTGTTACTGTGTCTTTAAAAAGTCCACCTCTACTCCACTCATTAATCTAACTTAGTAGTACCTGTCTGAGCTCTTTAAAGACACCTGTCCACCCCACAGGCAGTCAGACGCCAACTACTACCATGGGCAAGACCAAAGAGCTGTCAAAAGGCACCAGAGACAAAATTGTGGACCTCCACAAGGCTGGGAAGGGCTACGGGGCAATTGCCAAGCAGCTTGGTGAAAATAGATCAACTGTTGGAGCAATTGTTAGAAAATGGAAGAGGCTAAAGACGACTGTCAGTCTCCCTCGGACTGGGGCTGCATGCAAGATCTCACCTCGTGGGGTATCACTGATGATAAGAAAGTTGAGGAATCAGCCCAGAACTACAAGGGAGGAGCTGGTCAATGACATGAAGAGAGCTGGGACCACAGTTTCATAGGTCACTGTCGGTAGAACACTACGCCGTCATGGTTTCAAATCATGCATTGCACGGAAGGTTCCCCTGCTCAAGTCATCACATGTCCAGGCCCGTCTGAAGTTTGCCAATGACCATCTGGATGATCCAGAGGAGGCATGGGAGAAAGTCATGTGGTCAGATGAGACCAAAGTAGAACTTTTTGGTCTAAACTTTACTCGTCGTGTTTGGAGGAAAAAGAAGGATGAGTTGCATCCCAAGAACACCATCCCTACTGTGATGCATGGGGGTAGTAACATCATGCTTTGGGGGTGCTTTTCTGCGAAGGGGACAGGATGACTGCACTGTTTTAAGGGAGGATGAATGGGGCCATTTATTGTGAGATTTTGAGCAACAACCTCCTTCCCTCAGTCAGAGCATTGAAGATGGGTCGTGGCTGGGTCTTCCAACATGACAACGACCCGAAGCACACAGCCAGGATAACCAAGGAGTGGTTCCCGTAAGAAGCATATCAAGGTTATGGAGTGGCCTAGCCAGTCTCCAGACCTAAATCCAATAGAACATCTTTGGAGGGAGCTGAAACTCCGTGTTGCTCAGCGACAGCCCCGAAACCTGACAGATCTAGAGGAGATATGTGTGGAGGAGTGGGCCAAAATCCCTGTTGCAGTGTGTGCAAACCTGGTCAAGAACAACAGGAAACGTTTGACCTCTGTAATTGCAAACAAAGGCTTCTGTACCAAATATTAACACTGATTTTCTCAGGTGTTCAAATACTTATGTTCAGCAGTGCAAGACAAATAAAATTCTTTAAAAATCATACAATGTGATTTCCTGAATTTTTTTTTTAATTCTGTCTCTCAGAGTGGGAATGCACCTAAAATGTGAATTTCAGACCCCTCCATGATTTCTAAGTGGGAGAACTTGCAAAATCGCAGGGTGTTCAAATACTTCTGTTCCTCACTGTATCTCTGCACTAGACAAAGCACTTCCCACAAGTGCATTGTGTTCTTGAGGCGCTTTTGCTGCGTTTTCTATTCATTTCAATGGACAGGTGCTTTTTTGGTGTATTTTGTTTTACCTGACCAAACATGCACCAAGCAGGATTTTAAAAATTGCAACAGAAACGCAACAGACCAGTGTGAAGAGTTCTACAGGATATAAAGGGATGCATGTTTCTTCCACTTTTTTAACTGAACAAAAACTGATCAGTGTGAAAGCAGCCTTAACCACTTCAAGTCCGGCCCATGTACATAAAGTGCCGGACTGGAGCAGTGCAGGAGCGGGTGGGCGTTTATAAATGTCCCCCAGCATCCATTGCCTGTGCACACTCCCTGGGAGTGCGTGGCACCACGATCCGGTGCCCGCTGTGTCCTCTGGATACAGCAGAACACCGATCGCTGTACAGGACCTCTGTGTGAGGTCCCGATCATGTGATCACTGATTGGCCAATCAGTGATCACATAATTAGTAGTAAGCAAGATGTCACTTTCTGACATCATTGCTTACTACTAGTGAAATCTGTGAATGATCACAGAGGTCACATCGTACAAGGCTATTCACAACAGCCTTGTACCATGTGACAAGCTGTGACAAATCACAGCTCTCACAGTATTTCTCAATGGCTGCAAGAATGCAGCCAGAGAGAAGGAGAAATAATTGCTTTTACAGCCTTTATGGGTATAAAAGCAATCAGTATAAAAAAAAAAAAATCTTTATCACCTACCACAAGTAGTACAGTGTCACCATGATGACAATATAAAACAAAAATTAAAATGTAAAATTTTTTTTTTAAACATTATAATTTTTGGTTATAAACTAATTTGGGTTATTTATTTTTTTTACTAAAAAGATAGATGAATACATTTTGGCCAAGATTTATGAAGAAAGATTATTTATTTGCAAAATTTTATAAGAAAAACACTTTTTTTTCAAAATGTTTGAATTTTTTATTTATATAGCAAAAAAATAAAAATCCCAGTGGCGAATAAATACCATCTGTCTCAAAAAAATGCTAAAAAATTAATATGGGTACAGTGTTGCATGACAGCGCAATTGTCATTCAAAGTGTGATAGCGCTGAAAACTGGCCTGGACAGGAAGGGGGTGAAAGTGTCTGGACTTGAAGTGGTTAAAGACCACCCTCACATATATGTCCTGCAGTAATCTGCATTACTGCAATGCATTTGGATTAGCGCACCACATTGGACAGCCCAAGTCTTTGGGACCTAAAAGACTTTGGAGGTTTTTTACTAAACCTGGAGACTGCAAAATCTGGTGCAACTCTGTATAGAAACCAATCAGCTTCCAGGTTTTATTGCCAAAGCTTAACTGAACAAGCTGAAGGTAGAAGCTGATTGGCTACCACGCATAGCTGCACCGCATTCTGAGTGCTCCAGTTTTAGTAAATCGACTCCATTGTCATCTTTTCTATTCAGGGCAAAGTGAACCCACCCCCTGGCCACCTCATGCTGTCCATCATTCCCTCCACTGTTCCTTATTCTGTACCCACCACTGCAAAATACCCAAAGTGCATTGGAGTGCTGCGGTACCATACACCTTCCTGACACACCTGCTTTGCAGCACACGTATTTCCATGCATTGTAGTGTGCTGACCCAATTTGCTGGCCCAATTTTTGTTCCATTGGGATTCAATAAAGGAGTTATGATGCCTTTCTGGTGGTATGGCCCCTTTAAAATGGCCTTCACCTAATTCAGAGAAGATTGCAACATTGTTGGTGGAAGATCTTGACACATGTATCAGATACAGAGAATTCTTGTTTCAGGAACTTGGTTGCAACAGATTCAAAGTGAACTACTGCCAGTTCACAGATAAGCACACTGGCGGTAATTAGGACCAATTCTGAGTTGGTGTGCAGAGATACGCCAGTGCGCAAAGTGAGGCATTTTTTGCTTGGATGCTGTCATGAATTTAAACAAATGCTGTCACTAAATGTAAGCAAAGGGCCGGGGGACGCTTGCTGACATCATTTCCAATGTATGACAATGGCCATAAATGGGTAGTGAGAAGAATCTCCCTGCCAACAGCGGAATGGGGCTGGGGATGTTTCATTGGTTGCTACGATGCCGTCGGCTGCACGTCTGACAGCGTCTTAGCAACCAATGATGCTTTGTTACTGGGGTTGAACATGCACTGAGGACGGGATTATCCACAGTATAGACACTGTAAATTCAACGCCATCCCTCCACCATGCCTTTGGTAAACTCATGTACTTGTCTCCGACACGTACACGATATTGTAAAAAACACCAACACCTAGTTGTGTGGAGGTATGCCAGAATTCTGAAGAGTTTCATAGACACTCTCTATGAATTCCCCCCCGAGTGTATCTATAATACAGTGAATGTTACAGCCCTTAGGGTGGAACTTTTGACATCTATTTGACATTCCCTGCCTAGCAAGGGTGAATCCTTGAATTCATCGCTGATTCCTCCATTGCTTCCGAAGAAGAACCCGCCGTGCTTGTTTCAGCTCATATACATTTGCTCCTCATCGTATGTATTTGAAAACAGTACAAGACCTCCTTCTCTCTAGTTCCCTGGTCTCCTCCTCCTCCTCTCATGCCCGCCTCCAGGACTTCTCCAGGGTGTCACCCATCCTCTGGAACTCCCTGCCCCAACCCGTCAGATTATCACCTACTCTCCTCT